CCTCAATCCTCCAAAATTCTCTGTTATTTCTTGACTGTGGTCCTTGGAGGGGTGACCACTGCCTCAATCCTGCAAAATCCTCCAGCAATCACTGTCAATATGTTAAGGCAGAGCCAGCGACATCCTGGAGCAGTGCGGAGGATTTCGAGTATAAATTTATGCACGGCTGAGCATTAAACAACACAAGGTCCGGCCCAAGACCTTGAAACAGTGCATCCTGCATAATCAGCCACAGTTTTGCCAAATAGCCTCAATCTTTCAAAAGCCTCCATTTTGCAAAGAGGATTTTGGAGGATTTTGGATGGTTAGGGTTAGTAATATGTTCCCATTTTTGTGCAAAATTTTGTAACATTTTCTGAAAGAACTCCCAAAATTACCACTGAAACTTCAACAAAACTTCTCATGCAAGAATGTTCCAAAGGTCTTAAAAGAACTGAGAATCATGGACGCGGAGTTGAACGAATTAGTTGTGGAGGGTTAAACACACATCCCCCTTCCCCAATAAAAATTTAATTCATTAAAAAAAAGTTCATTCAGCCCAGACTAACACTTGTGTTTGGCCTCGTTTCAAGTACATTTTCCAGTGCTCATAAAAAGAACAAGTCTGTCCCATTGGGTACATGACACACAGACAAACGTTTGGTTTCTTCAGATATCTGCTTCACCTTGTATTTTTCAACCACTATAATAAGGCATAGTTAAAAGTTTGTGTAATTTACATATTTTAATCCTTCTCTACCTGGTGAACAGCATTACAATGTAAAACTGAACAACTTCTAAAAAGATACGGGGAAATTTCACCGAGTTGCTACACTGCATGTGGGTTAAACTTGCTGACTAAATTAACATTTCAACTACAAAACAAATACAAAGAAAACCTAGTACCAATCAGATGCAAAGACAATACAATTTAGCTAATAACCAATTTGGTTGGCAAAACTCTGTCGGCTGTGTTAAGTGGCTCTATGACATTTATGGTAAACACAAATAAGTGGTCTCATGGTAAGCAAAACTGCATTTTTTTAAACACAAATATGCCAGTAAGAAACCTTCTTTTCTTAAGCTCCGTCTTAGTTAACTTTGTAATACAAACTTGTTGCATTCCACCGACTTAAAACTTCTTATTGATTACAACCTTGTGATTTTATCAAAAAGGACATTTCTTCAGGCTTACTTTGCCAAATACGATTAAAAAAATCCCATTGAATAGTTGCATAAACCAAGTAAAAGATTACAGATGTATATGAAGCACAGTGGGAAAAAGTGACGTCTAGACTACTAGTGGCAGTAAAGGAAAAAAACAGAAAACTAAAATTTTGACGGCAAAAGACCCCATCCAAAAGTAAAGTCAGACATTGAAAATTAACATTGCTTTAACATATTAGTGTTTAATTTCCACAACCCTAAAAGTTTCATTAAAAAACATGTTTATTGGCCCTTTAAAAAAAGTTCTCTGTACATGCCTACGTAGACTAAACAGCACACACTGGTTAGGAAATAGGCACTTACGATCGTCACATGTTTTAACACCCGGTCACATGTACACAAATTCTAACCATTGGGAGTGAACTACAGGATTACATGTAACTCTTTTAATATTGAGGGTTTACACCGGTTAAACTCTTCATAGAAGTGTTGTAGTTGCATCATCTCGAGTCCTCAAATGTCCTTGAAGGTTCATCACAAGTACAGGGTGCATGACTCCAAAAAGTTGAGCAAGCAGCCATCTTTAAATTTCTCACAAAGTATCCAACATCTGCATTTCATGTTGATGGAGTATATTGTTTGTACTCTTGTGTATATAATATCACAGCGAAAAATTTGATGAAAATCCATTCATGCAAACCAGAGATACAACAGATCATAAATGGCAATGTGTTTTTCACCCGTTCCAATGTGATTTACACAGTTAATGAAAAGACCCATTGCAGAGTGCCGGTTGAGTGATTTTCCAATGCAATGTGTAATTCCAATTGGAATGGTTGCAAAACACACATCCTTTCTATAATCTGTTACAGCTCTGGTTTGCATGAATGGTTTTCCATGACATTTTCACTGATTATACACAAGAGTATAATTAATATGCTCCATCAAAATGAAATAATCATGTTAGGCACTTTTGAAAAATTTAACGGTATCTGCTTGCACAACTTTTTTGGGGGTCACCCTTGTAAATTCACAGGGTATTTAAAATCAAATGGGATAAAGGCATGTCTCAGTTATTGTTGGTTCCCACTTGTTATGTGACTGGCCTTTTGAACTGAGTAATGATTTACTTCTTACTGTGACCTTAACTACACTGCTATATAATGTCAAAAAGGCCAGACGCTTTGAAATAGTCGTACAATTTCAAAAACAGACAGCTGTGCATCCAATTGAACATGCACTGTGTCACACACTTCACTCCATATGAGCATCTGTACAGGGGTGATAGGCCTGCAGTTATAGGATTTCATGGTGTTTTTTTTTAAATTGCAGATCAGTGGCATAGCAAGACCGATTTAAAGTGGGGAGGATATCATATCCTTTGTCCCCCCCCCCCCACTTTTTTCGTCCCCCTCCAAAAAATGTAGCCTACATATGATTCTTTAGCTCAGAATAGCTGATTATATTACTCCAATCTTAAAAATGATGTTTAAATTGTGATCTTTTGCTCAAAAAATGTGTTAAAGTGGTCAGAAATAGCCTCAGATCGCACCACAGAGCATCTAGAATCCAAAAAAATGTAGCCTACATATGATTCTTTAACTCAGAATAGCTGATTATATTTTATACTCCAATCTTAAAAATGATGTTTAAATTATGATCTTTTGCTCAAATAATGTGTTAAAGTGGTCAGAAATAGCCTCAGATCGCTCCACAGAGCGTCTAGAATCCAGAATTTTTCAGGGCCCTTAGGCGGGCCCCTAACCCCACGCTGTTAGGGCTTCGCACTTCGCGCTCGCATTAGTTCCAATCAACGAATGTCCCCCCCCCTTCCCCCCCACTTTTGAAAAGTGATTGAGGCCCTTGTCAGCCGGGCGAAGATCCTGGACACTATTTGACAAGTGGCACTCTTTGTAGCAGCATTTTTGCCGACACACAATTTTGCCGACGGAATAATTTTGATATAAAAATGATTTATGGAATGATGGGCTAGGGGGAATAGGTGTGACACCCCTGCACAACCATTACTATCGATCCCTGTGGTGGTTCACTTGCCGACTGAGGCTTTTTGTCCACCTTGCCCCCTCCCATTAACCTGTTGGCTGTGGCTGTGTTGCAGATATACACGCACATGACGCGCCAAAAGCCGGCCTCAGGTCGACCTTGCGCCGACACAGGTCAGTCAGTGACTGACTTTTCAGGATCAAGCTGTGCCTGAGCTACGACCGTCGGGAACAACTCAGTCGCCGATTTTGTGTGTCCTGAGTGTAACTGCGACGATATTAAAATGATCGGCATCAGTTGGCGCTCAAACAAAATCACCAGTCGCAAGAGTAGAACAATTTCAACTTTTGCGACGGGTTGCGTGACCATCACACGATTTCTCAGTTTTGTGACATGAGCATCATATTTCTGCTTGATGCCGATGGTCCCGTCTTGGCGCAAGCAAATCGCAGGTTGAACTGAGGCCGGCCTTAGAGTCTCTGTAAACCTCATATTTTTCTGCATCCCTGAACTTTCGGAGTCATAGTTTCCAAGAACACTTAATGCACTGATTTATTCAATAACATAATAGCAATTAATTTATGTAGTTGATACCATACAGACAGAACCAATATTGTCGAAAACGTGACTCCCACTTTTTTTTTAATACACAACTAGAAGCGTATGCCTAACATAATTGGGCACCCATTCAGGTTACTGTTTCACTTTTGCCAATAACCTCAAAATATTTTTATATTTACTAGTATTATGCTTGGTATAATATATCAAATAATTGAAAAAAGAATTTATTGATTAACACAATTCAAAAATACAGCATTTTCTTACTTTCACCTCTCGAATTCTTTTTTAAAAAACCTACTATTATCAAGATAACGAAGAAATAAAAGTCTATCGTAACTATATTACATATCTCTACTAAAGCCCAAATCAAAGCTAAAACCTCCCCACTTCGAAAAAATAGCATACTAAATATAAAAGATTTAGGTTTTCTTTCGCTTACATACACAATTTTCAATTAAGATTTTCAATTTTCAATTAATATTCTGGAAGAAAAGTGATTTGGTTATGTTAATGTCATGCATCAATTATCAGAAGGAGCAAAAGAAACCCTTTTTTTTTTAGACGTATGTTTAAAGAGAATATACAACATTTGCTTTTTTTTGGTAATTTTCAGAAATGGTTGGATTTGGGGGATTAGTATTTTATAGCAAATACTGTTACACTGACTTGTTTGAAGTTTTGTGTTCGTAGATGCTGGAAAAACCAAGAAAAACAGTCATGTTCTTGTTGTCCGGCTCCCTGACCCCACTTAAATTGAAATGGAGCAATTTATTAACGTCTGGGAATTGTAAGGTCAGGGAACCAGTCTAGAAGGCTTGTACCCGTTCATAGATGGATTGCCAACAAAATTGAGACTGACTAGGAAATGCACTTTTTAAACGCTGAAATTCAGGGTGTCTTAAAAAACCTGAACCCTCGAAGCGTCCTCTATTTCACAGCTTATAAAAAAATACATCTCAAATGTCTATAAATATTTAGACATTGTAGTCCATAAGACTTTCAACAAAGAGAAAATATTTCCAATCGGGTAAATATTTATTGAGTTATGGCCAATTGAAAACAAGTACCGCTTTTTCATTTTTGTCCACGGCGACTGATATTTTGACTGCCGCAGTAAGAACACGGACCGAAACTTGCATTTGTCAAAAAAAGGCTGCCAAGGAGAGGGTAGAGACAGAGCAGCAACGTATACATCGAAGATGTTACAGATATTTGCGATGTATTTTTTTAACAGCTGTGCAAAAGAGGACGCTTTGAGGTTTCTTTTTTTTTGGACACCCTGTTCTTTAATAAATCTACAGCCTATCAAATCGGAAAAACTCCTGCAACAAAATTTCAATTTTCCGGCAGTATGTGACCGTTTCTAAATTAGAATTGATCGAGTTGGCCTAGCTGCGCTTGGGTGCCGGTGGTACACGTGCGCTCAATGCCCCTCCGACCAAATGGACTTCGCGCACAAGTACCCCCTCAATGGTTGGAAATGGAGAGTGCAGGGAGACCACTTGGTGTGACATTCGAACGCATTACCATCCGCGCTTCACACGAAGACACCACTGTTTTGTACACATTCCAAATAAAAGTAAACGTGCGTACTTCACGCGATACGCGCACAGGAAGTACGTGAACGACGTGTGTCCCTCTACTGCTTTTAAAAGTTGTAAAAAAGCATCGCTTCTGTTTGCGCATGAAGTCCGTAAGGTTTTCAATTTGCATGCGTGCCGCAAAGTAAGAATGCGTGCAGCTTGCGTACGAGTACAGCGCCACCCGGTGACGGCGATTGCAAGATTAGCCTATATTCATACAGAACGGATGCGGAAGAAAAATATGAAGATTAGAAGTATGCCCTGTGAATGTCACTGCCCACGCGCCTTGCTCCTTTCCCTGATGAACTTTGGCCTGACCTATTTGAGTATGACCTTTGACCCCACGTCTTCTAGACTGTCCACTGCTTGATGCATTTGTCGTGCCCCGTAGACACGACGGTGGTGCTGTCTCGCCATGCGACCGCGGTGATGACGGACTTGGGATGGGCGCCTGGCATGCAAAAACAAAACAAAAGAAAAGTCAGAAATGTGGACAAGTTTTAGTCAAAAGAGACTATGTTCCAGTCTTGATATATAACAACACATAACGTAACAAAAGATGGAAATGCTCTAATCCACTCTTTTCACACTTCCGCCATGGGCATGCAGAGCCTCTATCTGGCAACTTTACACAATAAATATTGCCGGTTCAGTGATTCCCGTGTCGGGGTTCAGATCACTGAACCGGCTATTTCTATTGTGTAAAGTTGCCAGATCGAGGCTCTGCATGCCCAATGGCGGAGTGTGAAAAGAGCGAATTACACACGCAGTCCTGATATTGGAATGCTTTGTGATTTTTGGAAAATAATTTAATCAATGTCACCTCGACAGTTTCTTCAAAGATTTGTTTCTCAGTGTATAATGTTACGACTCTGAAATACGTACTCGGGGTGATCCAGGATTTTTTGTTGGGAGGGGGGGGGGGGTGTTCGTCAGCAAATCAATGCTGATATGTAGACAGGTTTTTTCTCCGGACAATTGGCCTATGTAAAATCAATAGGGGGGGGGGGGGGGGGGATAGCTCGTACCATACTTTTAATGGGGGCACTGTTCAAATCCGATAATCAAGAACACTATATTACAGAATTATGTACAAATATTCCCCTACCCTAGCTGGCTCAGTACGTATGTCATGCACAGGCGGACATTATGTTTTTTGGGTGTCAATAAATCCATAGAATATATTTCTATGAAAAAAAAAAAAATTGAGTCAGACATTGGAAGGGGGGTTTTACAGGATTTGGAAATGGTAGAAGAGAATTTAAAACCAAGTTCAGTGCTGATAATTGTTGGTAGATCAGTTTCATGAAATTGTCAAACAAAATCACTAATCAAGGGAAACGTTTGAAGGCCTAATGTTGCCAAATTGTCAAGTTGCTGTTTTACCCAGACATTTTGGGGAAGAATTTCCTTCAGGAAAAGAAAACAACAGTACTTACCCATGATCAGGTTGCCTTCTTTGAGATTGTCTACATCCCAGATGCCGATACTGCCGTCCACCCCGCCAGTGGCAATGCGTTTGTTCTCAGGATTCCAGCTGAGCGATGTGACGCGAGCGCGGTGGGAAGACCAGAGGTGATTGCACGGCTACAGACAGAAGACAAGAGAGGGGGGTTAAGGCCAAGAAAATCAAATTGTTGTTGCCCTCATCCGACTGACCCAATAATCTGGAAATCTCCGGTCATTTTTGTTTTGTTTTTTGTTTTTTTCAGTTGAAAAAAATTAAATACAATTTACCTTGCCATTAATGATTCTTTGTAATGCCATAATTTTTCATTTCATTACAAAATGTACATACCTACCGGAAGTGGTAGTACAGTTCCAATTGACCTTATTTTGTATGTGTAACTGAGGCTGAGGCCTAGGGCATGTGGTGTGATGATCTGATACACCGTGCCCTCTGGAGACATGCACACAATAGGAGAACAAAAGATTGTATACCGGTACGTTCCACAGGGCAATTTCTATAGATGAATACGTCTCCACAAGGTTTTCACGAAATAGATATATGGATTTTACTCAAAAACTAGGAATTTCCAAGGTGGGTTGATCCGTCGCAAATGGAAGAGTTTTAGAAAAGGGATATCAAGTCCAAATTTCAGCCAATGAAATTAATTCTGGTTATTAAAAATAAGAGCATTTTGAAACTACACTTTCAAACTCGAAAACTTTACTACACGAGAACAAAGAAATGTCTCCACAAGGATAAAAATTTCAATATCAATGTACTGCATACATCGTTTACATGTGTACATGCACTGTACGTTGTATCACATGGCTATGCACACAGTATAGTTGGCGCGTGCAGTACATGTAGCCAAAACGTTTTGTGTATTGGTCAAAATTACCATGTAAGCTTCAAGAAAATAGGTTATGTTGACTGAAAAATTAAACAAATGTAACTGTTTCAACATCATGATTCAATCACAGAAAACAAAATCAACTGTAAACAAGATGTTACAAACTACGGCTATATTCAAACGACAAGTGGCCTATCTTTCCATTCACTCATCAATTAGAAGAAAGGGTCGGCCTATATGCATACTATGTATACACCCCCATCCAAAAAAAAAGCGAATACAGGGCGAGTAAAAAAAAAAATGCATCCCAAATGGCAGGACGAATTTTTAAATGAAGTTTTGCCTGTAGCACTTTCAAAATCTAGAATAAGAAAGCCCAATCATAGAGCTTTCTTTTAGTACAAGAATCATTCAAATCTCTCATGTACTTTTCAAGTTACAGCATTTTGAACACACACACCGTTTTGGAGTTCATTCCATGAATCACAAAAAAAGGTATGTGTTCTTTCAGCAAAACGAAAACAATTCACATGCATCCCTATGTTTTCGTTTCGCTGAAAGAACACTTACTATTTTACTCGTGCCGCACAATTCCGAGGAAAGTCGGACAAAACTATTTTCAAAATGGCAGGTGAAGGTGACTCAACGACTGTTTCGTGACCGAACAAAAACATTCGCAAACAGCCGTTGAAAAAGGTTGTTATTATCCTCGTCCAAGATATCTAAATTGATGTAAAATGTTGTGCAGGTACGCCAAGTTTCGTGAAATCGAACGTACGTTTATTGCGCAGCTGCGCAACAAATATGTTGCGTAAGTCCTACATATGGCGTAAGTTGCGCACTGTAATGTGCAATCGGCTGCTGCCGACGCAAAATGATCATTTTTTTTTTTTTTTTAAATTGAGATATTTATATTTCTGGACACTATGGAACAAGAGCTTTCCAATGGTACATAACAGTTTGGGGTACTGAGTTTAGTATCGTAAATAAAGTCTGCCAACTTAATTGAATTTTTTTTTAAGAAAATAGGATTTAAACTCCTAATCTCACTGTGTATGTTTTTTTTACTTCAACTACGACACATTTATTGCGTGTAGTATGCAATGGGTCAGTTCACCTCAAAATCCTGGACTTTCCAGAGCAGGACGTTCTTGTCGGCACCGCAGGCCAGGTAAGTCCCGTCGCAGGAAAACTGCACAGCACAGACGGGTTGTTGTGTGGTCAGCTGATCTATTTCCTTCAGTGTGTCGTTGGAAACGTCAAAAATGTGCAACTTGCTGTCCTGCAGGTGACAAAAGAAAAAACAGAACACAAGAGCTGCTCAGCAAGAAAACTTGGGCTTACTTTATGTTGGTCAGCGAAATAACATTGTTTATTGACTTGGCTCTCGGTTCTTTCAGCAAACCGAAAACAATTCACACACATCCCTATGTGATTTGTTTTCATTTTGCTGAAAGAACACTTACCTTTTGTGTGATCCGTGGACAGAACTTGTGTTTAAAAGTCCGTAGCTTGAAAAGTACATGAGTGATTTGAATGATTCTTGTACTAAAAGAAAGCTCATGAATTGAGCTTTCATATCCCAGATTTTGAAAGTGCTACATGCAGGACTTCACTAAACCAAGGGTCGCGACATTTGGGTTGCGTTTGTTTTTAATCACCCTGTACATTCAGGGAACACGATAAAATAGCGAACTCGTGCATAAGGCCCATTTCCGTGCAAAGCAGCTAAATCGACCACACTAACCATCTCTACCCTCACAGGTACCCATTTACTCCTGGGTGGAGAGAAGGAAGAGTGACAAAGTCCCTTGCCCAAGGGCACACACACCATGACCCCAGGCTGGATTCGAACCCACAACCTGCAGAATTACCTGCAAACCAGGAATCCAATGCATCAAAGTGCACCAGACTTTCACTGTGTTTCGTCTGGCAGGGTTAATGAAGAAGACTTTGCCGTTGATAACCCTTAGAAGGTCAGAATCTACCCTTCATTAGTCCTAAATACTTCTCTGAAAAACATCTAGTAGATTCTGAAGGATATGGGGATGGGGAATAGAGTAATTACAGAAACCATTCACAGGAAAGGAACACTTACGCTTCCGCCAACAGCTAAAAAGTTCCCCGCGGGACTCAAGTGGGCCGCTTTGGCAGTGTAGCGGACTGCCTCCGAGCAAACTTTGGCTTTATTCTTGAACAGGCAAATCTGTGGAGGGTTAAGGGGTACAAGCGACAGTCAGGCACATTAATGACACTTAAAGATGTCTGCAAGTCTCCCTAGGTTATTGAGAATTCAGACTTACATCTTCGACTGTGCCGACCACCATCAAATCTCCCTTGGTTGTAATGCATTGAGGCTGTTTGTCCAGTCCGATCACATCATCACTGCAATTGACATCAACAAAACCAAAATTGTACTTTTACGTTTTTTGGGATGATAGCTTTAAAGGTACTATACGACATTTGCAAACATCACAAAACAAAACTAGCATCCTGAGAAATCGATGCACCTGGAATGCTGTCTTTTTCAAGAAAAGTGGACTTTTGTATCAATTTTTGGAATATTTTGTTTGCAATCAGTTACATATCTATGAATGGGAGCAAGCTGGCCAGTCTGGTTAGGGAACCTGACAATTCCTAGATGTTTCTAAATCATTCCGTTTCGTCTGAAGCGACGGGTCAGGGAACCAGACCACAAGAGCAGCGTTTTTTCTTGTTTTTTTCTCCCCCAGCATCCATAAACACAAAATTTTAAACAGCGCAGTGGAAAGATATTTGCTATAAAATACTAATTCTCAAATTAAACGTAAACATCACGCCCACGATGAGTAGCATTTTTGTACAGGTTGTTTTATTACAAAAACGTGGCATCAAAATTGTCCTCTTAGTCCAGATTTCGGAATGAAAAGACGTCACGCATGCAAAGATACATCAGACTTTCTTCCGGAGATGGGCTCCGTGAAGAACGGGTGATACTCAGACTAACCAATCAGATGACAAAGATGGAATGGAACGTTCCTTCTGTCACCTCACGAAATTATTTTTACTATTGCATTCACAAACATTCATTATTTGTATATCAGCCCATGGTAGAATGCACGATTCAGAACTTGATAGACAAAAGTATGGCCGTGTTGAAAGGGTTTATTTTTGTAGCTACAGCTTTCGTTTTCGCCGTTGGTGCACTCTAGTGTGCGTAGCCACAGTCATGTCCATATTGGACGTGGCTGATGACTCAGGAAGCAGGGAAGCATTTCGACAGTCGTAACCAAAAACTGCTTTGGTTGTTTGTCATTGGTTGAGCGCTTTGGTGACTCACTTGCAACTGCACAATCAAAGGTCACTTTGATAACATAACATGGCGGTGTTTTGGCAATAATGGCCCCCTTCCATGGAGCGTTACTCACGTGAACGTCTTGGTTTCCGTGTCGAGGAACCGAACCACGTCGTCCATCCCAGCGGAGGCTACTATGTTGCCGTTGGTGCTCATGGCCGTCACCATGTTGGTGTGGGCCTTTCCCCCGGCAACGTCACACTCGCCACTCTCGGCATCCCAGCACAGTGTGACAGTCAAGGAATAAGACTCCGAGGAATAGAATGAATATCATAAGGGCTTGAGCAGCCTCCATGGAATAAAAGGGGATAAAGTCATGAATGATATAAGAATAGACATTTAATCAGCACAGATAATGTACAGGACAGTACGCACGCGCTGTGTGTTCCGTCCACGTTCCGTCAAAGTGGTAGAAAAGTGGCCTTGTGGTTAAAGCTATAGTCCATCATTTGTAATTTGTGTATTTTGTTCGTTTGAAGCAACAAAAGGGTTCAAAATCTAATGAAGGATACTGAACAACTAACCTGATGAAGTTTCAGCTAAGCTTCAGCTGTACATATCGAGAAAAACAGCATTCTAAGATCTCAATTTCAAATCAAAAGTTACTGAATCATGTTTTGAATTGTTTTGAATTGCAGCCATACGCGACGTAGCGCACTGATCCGACGAATTATAACAACCGCGCGCGCGTGTGCGTCGTTCCAATACTTGTGCGCACTGCGCTGAATAACAAAACGAACTACTAATTTAAATATTCCTACGGTGCTTCTTAAGAATCACCGTTGGAAATGCCTTCTTTCGTTGATTACTTCAAAATGACAGCTTCCCAGAAGGAATAATTTCACAGGGAGTTTAGTTCCCTTACTATCTTTCAACCAAGTTTGTTTTTCAACAATAATTACGCCAGTTACTTTTCGGATGGCTGCAAATGATGGACTATAGCTTTAAGGGCACTGATTCGTGGTCTGCGGGTAAAGCTGCAGGTTGTGGGTTCGAGTCCTGGCGGGGGGAAGGTGTGTGTGCCCTTGGGCAAGGCACTTTGTCACTCATTGCTTCTCTCCACCCAGGAGTAAATGGGTACCTGTGAGGGCAGAGATGGTTATTTGTGATTGAATTAGCTTGCTTGCGCCTAACAGGCTGCATCGAGCTGTATACTCCCCAGGGAGCTGAGATGGTATTTGGAATGTTTAATTGGCCCAATGATCAGGGGTAATAATACTGTAAAGCGCTTTGATCTTAGTTAAAAGTGCTATATAAGAACCTGTTATTATTTATTATTATTATTAGAAACACGCCCTCTTTTGTTGGCGCATGGAGCCCATAGTCGCTCAGCCTGTTCGTTTTGCATGAACTGTTTCTGATCAGCAAAACCCTGCTCCATGCCCAACAAATCTGTGTGCTGAGATGAGCAGTGAATCTGACTGTAGATCGGTGAAAGCTGAAAGATCAAGCTCAACATATTTTGTCCCCGTGCCACCCCAAAACCGACTTGCCTATTTCTCCCTGTACTGCAGAGCGCTTGCATTTGATGGATTCACCTGATGAGGAACAAAATTAAATCGTTTCTTGTCCGGGCTTTTGAAAAAATGAAGGAGGCTAGCACGTTTTTTTTCTTTTGGAAAATGGCTGATTTTCCAAAGATGGCGGATTGATTCTTCCATTTTCTGGACTCTTTTGCTGATGCAAAATTGTGTCCAAATGAGCCATAACCCTTTCAATTTTGTAGGAAACAAATAAGAATACAATGAATTGACAATATATTTACAAGATATAGCAAATGTATGAATAAAAAGAAAAGAGAGTCGGACGGGAAAAAAGGAAGCGGGCGGGGAGGAGAAACTGGTTTACGTTTTTACTTGGGAGTAATTGCAAAATACCCCGCCACTCAGAAATACACCCCTAAAAATCTCTGGCTACGCGGTTGGAATCACTGGAAAAGAAACTTAGTGGGGGTCCCCTGAGAACGAAACGACACAGAAGGAATGGGGGTTGCTGGAAAAATTCTAAGTCTAAACCAACTACCATGTTGCCGGCTATGTAGCTACGAAGTGGGAGTCCCCTTGTCTTGATATGCTTGAGAACGAAGCAACACAAAAGGAATGAGGGTTGCTGGTAGAATTCTAAGTCTAAACCAACTACCCTGTTGCCGGCTACACGGATACGGAGTGGGAGTCTTCTTGATATGCTTGAGAACGAAGCAATACAAAGGGAATGGGAATTGCTGAAAAACTTCTAAGTCCAAACCAACTACCCTGTTGGCGGCTACGCTGATACGGAGTGGGAGTGCAGTGGAGCATGACGTGTGTAGGCCTAGTACGTACAGGTAGCGCTGAGGTGGTTTATTGAGGGCAATCAACCGTGACTCCGTAGCTAGCTACAGGTAGCAGACCAGTAAATAAACTTCCATAGACCCCAATGGTAAATGCTCCCACTTCAAAAATTCGGGAAAAATACTCACAACTCTCCAAGGTGTTCGAGACACACCTCTCCAAGGTGTTCGAGACACACATCAAATTAAAGCTTATTTCATCATCTTTCATTTTCTTTTCAATTTTCGGGGGGTCAAATGATGACTTTTAGGAGAAATTTCCATCTGAAGATGATCACCCCTGAAAATAGTCCTGAAGCCCATCGCCATTTTGAAAAACGATGCCTACACTCCATTGCAAAATAGAGCGCTTTTAGGGTCCAAATTACATTCAAATTACACAGAACTGCAATCTCCCAGTCCTGTGCACGGCTTCCACCCACATTTTTTACAAACCCTCAAGTTCATGGCCCACAGCATGCTCAAATACTGAAGATTTTGAGGGCATGCAAATCGTGATTTGGCCGGCGTAGGCAATTTCGGACCGATTTACTGGTCTGCGCCCTACAAGGTGCATAGATTGAGTGGCAGGGTATTCTGCAATTGTGCCTTTACTTGGCCTAATACAATGTTGTACATATTCTAATGGGTTGAAAAGGATATGGATTTTGTTGTCTAGGCCAGCTGAATAAATGGACTTGGTGTCGCTGGACAGGGCCATCATAGAGATGTTCTTGTTGTGACCCTGCAGAGAGAGATAGCAAATAACTATATTCAGGGTGAGTAAAAAAAAACGAAACCCAAATGGCAGGACCAATTTTTGAATGACGTTTTGCCTGTAGCACTTTCAAAATCTAGGATATGAAAGCCCAATCAATGAGCTTTCTTTTAGTACAAGAATCATTCAAATCACTTGTGTACCTTTTAAGTTACAGAGTTTTGAACACAAACACCGTTTTTAAAGTTCTGTCCACGGATCACAAAAAAGTGTTCTTTTAGCAAAACGAAAACAATTCACATGCATCCCTATGAGAATTGTTTTCGTTTTGCTGAAAGAACACCACGCGCGATGCACACCATAGAAGTGGCCTGAACATGGAGTCAACATTATTGAACAAAACATTGTCAGAATTTGGTGATTTATTTTTCATTTTTGACAAAAAGAGGTATTTATGAATGGGCTTCAACTCGGGTCATTATCAGTAACCAGGCCCCTCATTGGTTTTAAAGGGAATATACATCATTGGCTTTTGCATTAATTTTCAGAAATGAACTATTTGAGGGGTTAGTATAACAGATCAAATATTGTTACACTGACATGTTTGAAGTTTTGTGTTCGAAAATGCTGGAAAAACCAAGAAAAACAAAAATGTTCAAGTAGTCTGCTTCCCTGACTCCACTAAATATAAAATAAATCAATTTACAAATGCCGGAAAATTGTAAGGTAAGGGAACCAGTCTAGCTGGCCTGCACCCGTTCGTGAACATGTAACCAATAGCAAACAAAATTTGGACTGAAAAAAAAAAAAAAAACGGTAAATTTGGAGCAGTAGTGGAAAAATAGTTTTTCCAACGGTGGTCAGCCGACCACCGTTGGAATTTTTTTACAAAAATACCATTATCTTGAAAATTACTTCACACCAGGTGCCATAATTTTACAGGATGCTTTAGACTGTCATTTACCAACATCCTAGTAAGGTATTTCATAAAAACTTGGTAGTTTTATTTTTCGATGTTCGATGTTTGCAAATGTTGTATATTTCCTTTAATACAGATGTTTGAAGAGTGCTCCACCACCGCTATTATGTGTACTTATTATTACTGATTCAATTCACCTTGATAACCCGCAGCGGGGTGTCAGGGTTGTTCTTGTCCAGGTAGCTGATGTAACCCGCGAGGGAAGTAGACAACATGTAATCGCCTTGCCACAGGAGAGAAAGCTGCTGGTCTTCAACCACCGTGCCCATCTTAAAAGTCCTAGAGTATGAAAAAGACAAGAAAAATTGCTAAGTTAAGGGAAAAATCTCTGTGTTGTACACGGGTCCGACACATGTAAAATGGACTAACCTTTTGCACACTACAACATTTGAACACGGCACTGACCCGTGTAGAGCGCTCGACCCGTGTCGAAACTAACCCTACTCGGGAGGTGGGTTGAGAATTCTCGATCCGTGTCAAGAAGTCTGACACGTGTTGAAAGCCGTAGTGTGAACACTTCTGGGTTACGTTCGACCCGTGTTCAACCGCATATCGACTCATCGGACGCGGACCGGCCGGAGTACGAGTGCATGCATGCAGCATCACGCTGTAGTTTACTTTTTAGCATGCAACGAACATACAAATAACCTTTGACCTGCTGCCCTGTCGCGCCACCACCGGTGTGATATGAAAATCGGACTCGTGTGAAAATCCGACTCTTTTCCCTTTTATTGGTTAAACCCTTTCACGTGACCGGTCCCTCTCCTAATTATCTATGCATGAGCATGCACAATACCTTATTGAGTCCGTATTTCATAACACCTGATATTCACGCTACACCTGCCGACCGCGCTTGCTTTTTCGTAAGCACTAGAAAGTAGAAGCGGCCGACCACGCTTGGTTTTTTGCGTACGTTCTTCGCATATGCTTTCGATGGTGCTAGAAGTTACAGAATAGTTTATCCTCCGACGTAAAATGGGCCCGAAATCAGAAAAAAGACTGGCATGAAGTGCGGGTCCGTGGTTGGGCTGACCATCCATGGAGCTACAAAACACGTGTAGGGCTGAGTGTGAAACGATCGCGCAATACACAGGTCGAAACATTACACATGTGGCAAAAACGCTGGGTTTGCGATGAGTAGTGTGAAAACATAGCGAAATCGAACCATGTTGAAATTTTTAGAAATCGACAAGGGTTGGAACCGTGTAGATTTCGACAAGGATTCCAATGCAAATGGATTCCAAATCTATTGGCTTACGTGATAAGCTGCTGGGTTTCAACATCCCACATTTTGACAGTTTTGTCGGCAGATGCAGTGAGGAGCCGTTTACTGTCGGGACTGAAGAACACCTTCAAAGACACACACACACAAAAAAGGAGAAAAAACTGTTAACCGATGGGGTTTTAAAGGGAAGATACAACATTTGCAAGCATCACAAAACAAAATTATCAAATTATCACGAAATACCTTACTGGATTGTTAGGGAATGACAGTCTAAAGCATCCTGTAAAATCGTGGCGTCTGGTGTGCTGACATTTTCAAGAAAAATGGTATTTTTCCAACGCTGGTCGGCCGACCAGCATTGGAGAAAAATGGCTTTTCTCAAAAAATGCTCCTAATTTTTCATAATTAGTTATTTTGCATTTTTTTTGGCAATTGATTATACATCTGTGAAGGGGTACCAGCCTGCTAGACTGATTCTCAGACCTTACAATTCCTCAATGTCTATAAATTGCTACGTTACATCTTAAGTGGGGTCAGGGAACCAGACTACAAGAACGTGATTGGTTTTCTTGGTTTTTCCAGCATCTACAAGCCCAAACGTGAAAAAAAGTCATTTTAACAGTATTTGCTATAACATACTAATCCTCCAAATCCACTTATTTCTGAAATTTGCAGCAAAAGCAAATGCTGTACATTCCCTTTAAACTGTTAAAAATAAGCAAAATCACGGTCTAATTTTAAATAGGGCAACTCCGTAAATTCGGACGTACTTGTCAGACACATTAACCCTCCTTTGCAAACATACATTCTGTGCCAAGTTGTCCTTGCAGCCAAAATCAATCAAGTGACTGTTTTCAATCCGTAAGAATTCTCAGCCAACATAAAGCAGGATTGACTGCCTTGGACTGATTAAGTAACTTGATACAGCTATGCTTTGACTCTGGGTGAGTGATAAAACAGCTGTGACCACAACTTGCCTGCTTTGTCTGTTGACCCAGTTTGACTAGACAAAGTATTTGCTTGACATAAGATCTGACTGCTGGTGACTATAGCCTTTGTTAAAAGTTTAGCATAGTACAGGGTGAGTAAAAAAAAAAACCAAAACCCAAATGTCGGCACCACTGTTTTGGTCTTTTCCAAAAAACAACACTTCTTATTCTTACAAAGAAAAAATTATTGCTCATTATAAGAACACTCACCGAATAAACACCGCCTTCGTGGGCCTTCTTCCCGTCTAGCAGCTCAGCAACCTTCTCACCGTCTTTTCCAGTGTACAAGAACACCTAAGGAGGAAAAAAATAAGTAATAAAATTCATGCAATTGTCTTGACCCAATCTTAAAATTTAAGACGATAAGTAGATTTATGCATGACATAAGAGTTTCAAATAGAACACGAAAAAGTCGTGAAGTTGGGAATTTGGCTGATTCGGTCACAGCCGGTATGCCGCACCTCAAAAGATGGCTGCCCTTATGCAAAGGACCTATTCAAACCTACCTGTGAGTCAGAGCCTCCGGAAGCAAAGAAATTACCGTCAGGGGAGAATTTGGTTGAGTTCACAAAATTGGAGTGCTCCTGCAGCGAGGAAAGGGCAAGGAATATAAATATAATGACTTTATGAAAACAAAACTCCCTCAATTTTCCCTGAGAAAGTTTCAAAATTCCATGAGAAATATTGTCATTTTTTAACGAGGTTGCTGGAAAGTCAAGAGGGGGTTGCAGCAAAGCAACTAAGATGCTAATAATACAAGTGCAGCAGTCGATTTCACGAAAAAGTGAGTAGCTTGCGCCATGCGTTAAAGACATACGCAACAAATTTGTTGCGCAGCTGCACAATAAAATTACGATTGATTTCACAAAACTTGACGTAGCTGTGCAACGTCTTAAATAATCTAAACTTCTTAATAACATGATAACAACAGCATTTACGATGGCTGTTTGTGTATGAATTTGTTGGTTCATGAAACAGTCGTTGAATCACCTCAGCCTGCCATTTTGAAATTGATTTTGTCCGACTTTCTTCGGAATCGTGTGCCAGGGTGGCAAAGAGAGATGTTGAAATAGTTTTCTTGTCAAAGATGTATAATATCTGTGATCCAAAAGCAATAAAGCATGTTTTACTGAGAATTGCAGGTGCGTACAATTTTTTCAAAGCGTATCGGCCCCGATATCCTATTGTATGCCTGGCTAGAACAACGTAAATAATGAAGATGAATGCGGTGACTTTTCAACACGGTAAATTCAATCATCCGTGCACGCTAATTTTGCCCTTTCATTGCAAGCTTTAACATACCTAGCGCTATCAACAAATTCTTGCCGAACTCTTCCCAACCGACTTTTGGGTTCGGTTAGGTTCGGGTTCGGTTCAGAAAGCCAAGTTCGGCTTTTTTAGTTCGGTTCGGCGGTTCGGCTGCAGCACTACACTATATTCACAACAGAGATGGGCATGTCAAGTTGCCCTTGTATTCGTGAAAACGGTGACAAAACTGAGAGAGAGAGAGAGAATTTACTCACTCTGAGCTGTGTCTTAAATTTGAAGGGTATCCCTTCATAATATGATGTTGTCATATCCTCCGAGGCAGTTACAATGCGGTAGGGTCGGGTCGGCTTGTAGTCAATGGCATTGCAGTGATTAGCGCTTCCGTTCAGCTTACCAATGGTAGTACCGGAATCCCAAAGGATTGCTGCAGCGAACCTGGGTAACGCAAAAAAAAAAAGACTTTGATTTCGTGCAGCTATTCAATGGTTAGTCTTGCACTTTCTATGCACTCCATGCGTGGACAATTATACATGGCGCTCTTCAGTACTCATGAGAGCTCTGGGGCGTGTTTTCGCGACCGTGACCAGAAACGTGTTTCCGCTTTGGTCATTGGTCAGGGTTTTCGCGTCTTCAGTTATGGCTGTGTGACGTCATTGTTTCGACCAAACGAGGATCTCAATCCTGCAAATCCTCCGTAATTTCTTGAATGCGGTCCTTGGAGGGTGACCACTGCCCCAATCCTGCACAATCCTCCAGCAATCACTCTGGATACGTTGAGACAGAGCCAGTGACATCCTGGAGCAGTGCGGAGGATTTCAAGTATTATCTAGGCCTCAATTTATCCACGGCTGAGCATATAAACAACACAAGGTCCGGCCCAAGACCTTGACACAGCGCATCCTCCAAAATCAGCCACACATTTTTGCCATATCTCCTGGATCCTGCAAAATCCTCCATTTTGCAGGGAGGATGTTGGAGGATTTGGTATGGGAAGGTTAAGGTTAATAGAGTACGCATACATTTAGCTTTCCGTTAATGTTATTTACTATTCCATTATTTTTTATATTTTTTATTTAATATACAGTGGAACATCGCTATACCGAACACCGCTATCTGCTCCGTTTACGAGTACCCCCTCACCGGCAAAGGAAGTACAGTTGGGGGTGACCGACCGACGCCATCTTGCCTGACTGCAATTCATTTGCTGCAAAGCGCGGCCACTGCGTGTACATAGAACAAATCCCCTGGTGTATGCGCGTCACACACAAGGAACGGTGCGCGACAACCAGCGAAATGTCCCGCCCATGGGACGTCGTTGTTAGGTAAAAGGGCGCCCTCTTTAGTCAGCGCACGGAGCTCATACCTAACATTCAGCTATACCGAACATCATCCTTGGCTCCCGATTTTTGTGAACAAAACGTACCGAACATTGTTATTGAAAAATGTCAACAGAAGAGCAACACGTGGCTACATTATTTCCCCAAGGAATAGAAGGGGCCAGCCACCCATTGCTGTAGGTAGTAAGGTCAACAACTGTGAAATTACATTACTCAATAGTCGGCACGTGTTCGAAGTTGTCTTTCAGTAACTACCAGGGCGTGCAGGGTGAAGTTCTGCAGGGTGTTATTTATTGAAAAGTGAGTACCGGAGCACCGGCAGCTTAAAATCGCTATACCGAACGATTGCTATTGCGAACAATTTCTGTGGATCCCACGACGTTCGTTATAGCGGTGCTCCTCTGTAGTGATTCATAGTTGACTGTCTTGTTTTTAAAAAAATGGGTCTAAAAAGATTTGACACTCACTTATCACGGCCCTCGCCACACACGGCAAGTCTTTTGCTTTCGGGGCCCCAGGCGATGTCGTTGACTTTGCCAGAGATTGGCTGGTGCTCATACTTCAGAATATGCTCCTTTTGGGTGGTGTCCCAGATACGTACCTTACCAGTAACATCTGCAACAAAGGAAGGAAGAAAGAAAAATGAAACACCATACATAATGTGGCGATTGTGTAGTTACGGGCCCCTTTTTAGTTTTGGTCAAGCTAGTGTCAATCAATCTATCCATCCACAATTTTCTATCAATCCAAAATGACGTCTGCAACATAAAGCAGACTTCTCTTAACATCTAATGAGTGCATTTTCTTTGCAGTTTTGAGCAGTATCTTTTAAAGGTATAGTCCATCATTTGTAATTTGTGCATTTTGTTTGTATGAAGCAACACACCTACTCAAAATCTGAAGAAGGGTGCTGAACAAGTAACCTGATGAAGTTTCAGCTCAGCTTCAGCTGTATATTTCGAGAAAAACAGCATTCTAGGATCCCGATTTCACATCAAAAGCTGCTGAATCATGTTTTGAATTGGGCCTGAATTCAGCGTCTGAGACACGTTCTTACTGAGCCGAATGCAGCTACGCGATGTCGCGCACTGATCCGACGAATCATAGCAACCGCACGCGTGCATGTGCGTCGTGTCAACGCTTGCGCACGCTTCGCTGAATAAAAAAACGAACTACTAACAGAAATTTCCAACGGTGCGTCTAAAGAAGCACCGTTGGAAAGGCCTTCTTTCGTTGATTTCTTCAAAATGACAGCATGCCAGAAAGAATAATTTCACAGGGAGTTTAGTCCCCATACTATCTTTCAGCTAAGTACGTTTTTCAACAATAGTTACGTCAGTCACTTTTTGGATAGCTGCAAATGATGGACTACAGCTTTAATAAAAAAAAAAAATCCACTTTCTAGCGCATTTTACAGACCTGCTTTCTATTCTGATTTTTTAACTCAATGCTAAGCAATATTTTCAGCATAGCAGCTCCTGGATTTAAAACAAACCAAACACCGCGCTCAACATCATGTACCTCCGGATGCTATGTAGAACCCACTGGGAGCGTACTTGGCCACGGACGTCTGGGCACTGTGCTCGCAATAAATGTCGCATATTGCAGGATTCTGATACAGAGAAACAAATCACAAATCAATCAAGACATGAACACGACACAAACGTCAAATTTCAGTATCGAGGTTTGTATTTGTGAAAATGAAAGATGCCAACTGTTTTTACTCTAAAAAATCCCTGTTTTTCCACGATTTTAAAGTACTTATAGTAAAATATGTGTGGATGATATCAAAGCTAACAATACATGTAACTCTGAAAATTCAAAGAAAAAAAAAATCACGCCATTTTGTTTTTGCATTTTTAAGCTCTGGCAGAAGCTTCTAAATGTCACTTCCTGATCAATCGGTCGGTTGGTCCGTCCCCAGAAAATTGACCAAAATCGGCCCCCCTAGGTTTCCCATCAAATATAACTACCAATTGACCATAAATTTACGAAATGCAAAGCTGTCGCCGGTAAATGCACTCTTGGCGAAAGTTTTCGGAACACGCCCCTATGTCTCGATCAATGCGCATGCGGGTCTATTTTGCATATGAAGTGAAACATTCCGGAACCAGGCCAGACCTTATTGTGCACTCGCGCTTGTTCTTCATTAACCCTAACTCCCCAGCATAATTTACTAGGAACCGTACCCATTCAGGCAAATTCCAACACCCACATGGGAAATTGTACACACACACTGTTGGACTTCGTTTCTGGAGGTATGCCAACCCCATTGTAAAAGACCATCAGTTCAGGGGTACTGTACCTATCCCAACAGATTTAAACAAAACCTGCTGTTGAACTTTGATGGGTTGAGTTCGGTTAGGGTTAAGGTCTGTGCCCACTGCCCAATTCGGTCTCATTTTGCAAGAGCAGTTCGCATGACTTTTGGTCCAGAGCGAATAAATATTGATTGTTGCCAAAAGGGTAGGGTTTCACAACTCTCAAAGTGGTAAGGCACAACTCTACAATAGGTTTGAGGGGACGGGGGTTAAGGAGAGGAGGAACGGGTGGGGGCTAAGGAGATGGTTGAACAATTGGTTGGAATTTGACAGGAACGTGTGCTATACACCAACAACAGCTCATGATGTCGACTGTAGAAAAGCTCAAGCTTGGTCTGCTCTGTTCTCACTGAAGAAAGTCTGGCCATCATCGATCTCCATGGCCACCAAACTTAAGATCTTTAAGACTTCAGTGGAATCCATCCTCCTCTACGGATGTGAGTCCTGGGCCCTGACCAATCAAATCTCTACATCCATTGGTGGCACCTATACACGAATGTTGCGTGCTGTACAGAATCTTGGCCACAACATCTTCCTAACTCTGTTTTATACGGTGCCCTTCCCCTTATCTCCACCATCATCAGACAGCATCGCAATAATGAGCCAGCTAGTCATGTTCTTCTCCAGAAGCCTGATGCCCCTCCTCGTAGAGGTCGTCCCAACATGATCCTGAAAACATCTATCGAGTTGGAAACTGATCTGAACAGGCCATCTCTTTCCAACACTATGCTCGACAGGGACAGTTGGGCCCAACTCATCAAGTCATCAGGATTGTGTGAATGAACAACTGAATGAATGAATGTACTATACGGGGGAGGAACAATGTTGGGAACGTGCTTACCTCAATATCTCTAATGTAGACGTTGGTGTCGTTCGTATACAGGAAGGTCTTGCCCTTTGGGTCCCCGCCGAGGTTAAATGCACGGGCTCGCTCCGTTCTGGGATGCGCGGCAAAAACACTCTCTGAAAAACAAAGAAAAGGTGACAATTTCTTTTTAAAGCGATGCTTTCGTTGTTGTTGCTGTCGGCATTCTCTACCCAACAATTTCCCTCTGAATGCAAAACACTGCCCTCTCTCTACGCCATTCCTGTAGCTTTTCAACATCATAGCTATTTTGGTGAGTTCAATATAAGGTAATAACATAAATATGGATCTTTGTTGGCTAACACTGGAACGGGAGTTTTAGCTACACTCTTACCAATATTATAACTATAGATACATCAAATCAAATTAGGTTTTGCCCTTCACCGATGTATAAACACTGTATACTCAGTGTGTTACCTCCCGAGTGAAAGTTGGAGAAAAAAAATCACTCGGGTGGGACTCGAACCCACGACCTCCTGCTTTCTAGTGCAGATGTCTTACCTCTCGACCAACGAGCTAACGGGAACGGTTGGCTGGTTCTAATCTGATTAACCGCATTAACTATTCATAAGATGGAATTTTGCGCCGGGGTGATGTAAATCAAATTAGGTTTTGCCCTTCACCGACGCATAAACACTGTATATTCGGTGCGTTATCTCCCGAGTGAAAGTTGGAATTTTTTTTTTACATGTATGTCCAAGGCCATGATTCATAGACTGTATAGTTCATGTATGTATACGAACCGGTAATTAGGCCTAATTTCTTCCCTTCAGTGAAATGAGTCAATTTTCAGGAATGAATATATGTTTAATAAAAGTCATTGTGAATATACAATGGCGGCCACAAAGAAAAAGGGAAAGAATGTAGTATCCAGACGCCACTTCTTTGGTTGTGTATACAATCTATGGAGAGTTGAGTGCATTTTCAAAGTATTTCCTGACAAAACTGGGAATGTTTCTCATGCAATGACTGAGTCAGACTGACCGACATCGAGATGATGAAAAAAGTGGCGTCAGGATGCAACATTCTTTCCTCCGGTTGGAGTTTGACAACAAATGGAAAATGTTAGTCCCACTAACTTGGGCGCTAGAACTCCTTTTTTTGACATATGGGATGTTGGTCTGTCGTACTACTAACGTCCCACTAAGGAAGTATGGTCAATGTTGCAATTTCTAAAAAAAAAATGCCTTTGAAAGCACCTACTGGCTTCTCCATATGTCAAAGACAAAGTAATGGGGCTTCAATGATAAAAAATAAACTCTGCATTTAGATCGGGGGATGCACCTACGACTGTTTCATGACAAGGCACGGTACAAGAGTACAGTCGTAGGTGCATCCCCCGATCTACATGCGGAGTTTGTTTTTTGACACAGGTCACGGTCGTGTCCCGGCCCCTGCTTCACGTACGTGTTTGTATGTTCAATGTACATGGTGTACGTGCATAGACAGTGCGTTGGTAGATCACAGCCATAACCTTATTGAATGATCACTGTATGATGTCTGGGGGTGGTGGGGTTGGGGTGGGGGTGGTGGGGTTGGGGTGGGGGTTGGGGGGGTGACAGCCCCCCCCCCCCCCCCCATGAAACCTTGTCGCCCCCCAGCATTGCCCAGTCGCCCCCCCCCCCCCCCCCCCATTGAGATTTTGAGTTTCTAAAAAAATTATCATTGATCTACATGACTTCCCCCCATGAAATGTTCCAGCCCCCCCCCCCAGCGCCCCCCACTGAAAAAAATCCTGGCTACGCCACTGGCCGTAATTATAGCCACAGCCAAAACAATGAAAAATGGGAGCCAGCCGACCGGCAAGCACAACATACCGGTACATCATGTACATTATACAATGTTCAATGAATGAAAGGTAATCACTTCCGGGATGTGTCTCCGAAACAATCTGGACATCACTGCCTAAATCTCACACCAAAAACAAAATCAAAGAGACACAAATGCTTCTCCGTAATACTCACTTTTCTCGTAACTGAACGGCATCTTTGCACTGTGGTTCTTTCCAGCTCAAATGAAGCAAAAGTGTAAGTTACGACAAGCTAAGTTCCTACTCGACTCCCACACAAATCAATGCGGCATGCGAGCTGCATGTTCCACATTAGCACTCCGCGGCGCCGCCGGCCAAGTACGCACGTTTAGTTGTACACATCGCAAGATGAGGCGAGAACCAGACCGCTGTATCTCCCATTCAGATCGAGGCTCCATTCACCAAATATGGAAACTCTCAAATGCCTATGTCCATATTTGGAAGCCAGACAGGTGGCCACGCCCCCTATGGCGCGCTGATTTGATTTTCTTATCGCTGTATATTTCCCTACCCCGCCCATTAACCTGCGGCGCACGCTGGGATAAATAAATATTACTCATCAAGATTTTTTATAATCAAGACGATTTTCGTTGGTGGACGATTTTTTTCAATCTAGTCGACCTCCGTGTGATATGCGGTGCTTTATTCAGTATTTTAAGCAGAAAATGAATTTTGAAATGCATGTTTTATCTTATTGGCTATTTAAAGTTGGATATTCTACTTTAACGACTTGCACTCGTAGTGAATAAAGAGGAACAATATTTGTACAAAAAAAACACCAAACTTTTTATTTCCCAGAAAAAAAGGTAAAAAGGCTTGGGATATAATGATAATCGCCAACTAGCCGTCTATCATCAGTGAAGATTAATTAATCGTAGTCATTTAGAGTAATTTTCAATATGCAGGTTTTTTTTCCTGGTGGTTTGGCAAATTGTACATCACACTTCTACACCTGAAGCCGCATGTAGTACCCCAATGTTTCTTAACTCGAACTAAAAATGACATGTTCACCACAAATTAGAGATGATTTCAGTGCTATTTTCGAGTTTCAGCTCGAAAAAATATATTTTGTTTTCAATTGCTATTTTCCTAGCAATATATAAGTTATTCAATTTGAATTATTGGTTGTGGCCTATACATCTTTAAAGCTGTATTCTACTTTTGGTATTAGTACTTGTACTCGTACATTATTTTTGCAGTCCTACTTTCTGTAGAACAATATTAATGTACAAGAGAAAAAAATGCAAGGTTTTTTTTGCCCAGAAACAAAAATGGACATATTTTTTCCCCGGTGATTTGGCGCAATTTACATCATACTTCTAGTTCTACACTTCTAGACATAGGGCTCTATCGTTATTACTGTTTCTTCGCTCGAACTAAAAATGACACTTGTCACAAGAAAATTTACGACAGCGAAAATCCAAAACTCTGGCAACTTTTCGTGCTGAAATAGCTGTAACATTGAGGTTTCTGCCTGATGAAATGACATCACACTTTTGCTCATGAATATGGAAATTGATATTAGCATAAAAAACAAACAAAGGCACCAATACCATTGAAAATGGCAAAACGAAAATTGAAAATAGGGTTAGGCTAAATGGGACACAAAGCTTGGTGCATTTTCAAGGATTGCATTAAAATAATTACATTGCACGGGCCCTTTAGGCCTAAGAGCTGGCTAACGGCACGTACAGTATAAACTTTTAGGTCATTATGGATACATTTCATCGAAAAAGGGGGGGGGGGAACTAACTCACACATAGTTAAAAATCATTTACGTGGAAAATCCAATATTGTGGTGCATCCTTTTCTTCGAAATTGACATTGTAAATTCCTACTCCCCCATTGATCCCCAAACACGCCCCATTTCGGCGGGAATTCAAAATTTCTGAGATGCCACGTGACAAAAATGGTAACGTCAGAGGGCGCTCTTGATCTTCACCGTAAGAAAGAAGGTAAGTGAGGGCATGCAAAACCAGCTGGCTCGGCGTGATTCACTTCAAGGAAAGGATCTGGTGGGTGCGAGTGGCTGCTGCATAATTCTCCTTAAAAAAACAATATTCGATGATCATTTCTTGAGACATTTGCCAGCTGAATCGAAAGAACTACTGTTTCTTTCTCAGACACTAATGCCACACCCAAGAATTTGTTTTAATCAAAAATCGAATGAGTTGTGGAAAAACCGGTAAGCCGATTTAATGATTTTACTTTTAGGCAGTGGATATTTATTGCCGGCTGGGCCGATATCCTTGCCGTCAAGTTCAAACCTAAAAATTGTACATTGCCAGTTTTGACAGCAACGTGAAGTTTTACTTGATTAATCAGGCTACCATGGATGATAATGATACCTATCTTCTCGGGCCTAATTTACACGAAACCTTCCTGATTTAGTCCTGAAGTCAGGTTGTGCCAGAATTATTGCGGTTGTTTTCTCAGATTTTGTACCAGTTCACGGAGAATGTTCCTTTTCAGCCCGATTTGACTTCATCCAACAAAAAATTGGATGGTGCATTGCTGCAGTGCTGATGTCATCTAGATGCAGTATCTTCTCTCTAAGTAAAAGAGTGAAAAACCCGGGGACACCTCTTTGAAAGAATTCCATACCTGGACATCACTTGACACTCTGTGCACAAACCCTATGAGACTGGTCTGAAAATTTATAAATGTTTTCTTAGCTTGAGTAACTCCAGCTTAACATGCTCATCAGGAATTCACATGTTACATGTGAATTCCTGATGAATGTTAATAAGCTGGAGATACTCAAGCTAGTGTTTTCCCAGTTAATGCTTCAATATTTTCCCTGCTAAATTTGACTTTTTAGGACATGCTATCGCTTTCTGATGGCTGAAAGGTAACCGCAGGGAAACATTAGTGATGTCAATGTATGCAATTGAATGTTTGTTTCTTCAACTCTTTTAGGGTGAAGTTTGCTTCTTTTTGAGCGGTTTGTCACTATGGCCTATAGTGAAAAAACACTCTAAAAGAGTGAATTAACTTCCACCCTTTCTACATAGGGCCACATGGGGACAAATTTGAGTAGTTTTTCACCCTTTTACATCATAAGAGAATATACTGTCGTAACTACAAATGCTTCCAAAAGTGGGAGGAGGAAGTGGGGAAGGGGGGGGGGAGCACAGTACATGTGCATGTTTCTGTAGCAGGTAATCCGAAAGTTGGGAAGCAAAAGATATTTTTTTTAAAGGAGGGGATCGGGGTGGGGGCGTTTAGGTTGGCAACGGACTAGGACCTTGAGTACAGAAAAACAAAATCAGGCCAACTTTTTTTAGCCAACAAAATTCTCCAAAATTTCCATGAGGAAAAGACAAGGTCCTCAGTATTTCACCAGCCAAGTTTGAGGTCTCAATTCATGTTTTAGAGGAAACTTTTCTTTAACATTTTGTACCTGAGAGTGAAGCCAAGTGATTTAAATTTAAAGCCTAAGACTAGACTAGTGGGCCTTACATGTCCAACTTTTTGATAAGAGTGACCCTTCAGGAGTCTGGTGGCAGGACTATGGAGAGAATGTGTAGAAATAGAGACTAGGTACCAGATGTTTCTTTTGACACAGTTGATTGATGCGGTACTAAAAGGGTGTTGGACTGGTTGTTTCATGTGCCAGTCTATTTCCTTGCATTGCATGTTTTTACTTTCTTAAACTTTGGGTCACTCATAATAATAATAATAATAAGGGTGGATATTTATAAAGCGCACGTATCCACCAGGACTGGTGCTCAAGGCGCTACATCATTATTACCCCTGCTCATTGGGCACATGAAACATTCCAAATACCATCTCAGCTCCCTGGGGAGTATACAGCTCGATGCAGCTTGTTAGGCGCAAGGAAGCTAGTTCAATCACAATAACAATCTCTGCCCTCACAGGTACCCATTTACTCCTGGGTGGAGAGAAGCAATGAGTGTCAAAGTGACTTGCCCAAGGGCACACGCACCATGACCCCGCCAGGACTCGAACCCACAACCTGCAGCTTTACCCACAGACCACGAATCAGTGCCCTTAACCATGAGGCCACAGATGCCCATACACAGTATTGAGAGTCCTAAATTTTCAGACTAGGATGGCACAAACATCCAGGATTCTTTTAAATATTCTTATCTCGTTTTTTTGCCCCCAGAGGTAGTGTACCATGGCCAACGATGCCCATTGGTGGGCCAACGCTGACATCACAGCAGACATCTATGCCAGCATGAAGCGCAAGGAGGAGCAACACATCGTCTTCGTGGGTCAGTCGCCCCAGCTGCACCTCCGCCGCTACCTGGTGGACTGGATGGCCATCCTGTGCGAGAAGTTTGAGATTGACCGGCACGTCCTGCACCTCGCCGTCTACATGCTGGACCGGTTCATGGATCGCTACGCCATCGTCCAGGAGTCCCAGCTGCATCTGCTGGCGTTCACCTGCCTGCAGATTTCAAGTATGTTACACATTTTTTAACCTATCAGCGTCACCTGTCACAGGCATTTGAACCCATTTAAGCACCTGTTTAGGCCAACTACATTGTATTACATTGTATTCATTCCCTACACAATTGGAAGTCCCAGCTGCATCTGCTGGCATTCACCTGCCTGCAGATTTCAAGTATGTTACCAATGTTTGAACCCATTAGGGTATAGCACCTGTCACAGGCATTTGAACCCATTTAAGCACCTGTAGGCCTACTAAATTGTATTACACTGTATTCATTCCCTATGCCATTGGAAGTCCCAGCTGCATCTGCTGGCGTTCACCTGCCTGCAGATTTCAAGTACGTTACACATTTTTGAACCCATCGTATAGCACCTGTCACTCACACTTGAACCCATTTAAGCACCTGTATAAGCCTACTACATTGTATTACATTGTATTCATTCCCTACACCATTGGAAGTCCCAGCTGCATCTGCTGGCGTTCACCTGCCTGCAGATTTCAAGTATGTTACACATTTTTGAAGCCATCAGCTTATAGGACCTGTCACACACATTTGAACCCATTTAAGCACCTGTATAGGCCTACTACATTGTATTACATTGTATTCATTCCCTACACCATTGGAAGTCCCAGCTGCATCTGCTGGCATTCACCTGTCTGCAGATTTCAAGTATGTTACACATTTATGAACCCATAGCACCTGTCTCACGCATTTGAACCCATTTAAGCACCTGTATAGGCCTACTACATTGTATTACATTGTATTCATTCCCTATGCCATTGGAAGTCCCAGCTGCATCTGCTGGCGTTCACCTGTCTGCAGATTTCACGTATGTTACACATTTTTTAACCCATCAGCATATAGCACACTATCACACATATTTGAACCCATTTAAGCACCTGTATAGGCCTACTACATTGTATTTCATTGTATTCATTCCCTTCGCAATTGGAATTCCCAGCTGCATCTGCTGGCGTTCACCTGTCTGCAGATTTCAAGTATGTCGCACAAATTTCAAGTATTTTGAAGTGTGCTCTATACAGGGTGGCTCCCCCCCCCCCAAAAAAAACCGGAATGGCATATATACTTCCACTACCTTGAGACTCAAACTACTTGTACCAATGGATGGAGAATCTTTAAGGAGAAATATGATACCAAGATCACCCGATTCGTTCCAGTAGTTTTTGGTGCAGAGCCTATTTTGTGAAGCACACATCTTGCATGTAGGATTATTACATAACAATCTCTCTACGTAATTAAGTCAAATTTGTGGGCGCGGTTTAGTAATTCATCGGGAAAAAATGACTCCCGACTTTTTTTCACAGAATAGGCTCTAGAACAAAAACTACTGGACCGAATCGGGCAATCTTGGTATTTTTTTTTATGAGGATTCCCAATGCATTGGTTGTTTGAGTATCAGGGTATTGGAAGTACCCCGTTCCGTTATTTTTTGGCCACCCTGTAAAGCCACACAGAGCTTGAAATTCAGGTTTAAATTTCTATAAAGGGAGAGCACTGAATCCCTCAGGTTTGCTACTCAATTGAAATTAGTTTATTGTTAATTTTTAAATTTTGTTTTTGGTGGGCAGCCAAATTTGAGGAGCGTGAGGAGAAAGTGTCCAAGCTCAGCACCTACCACGGCCAGTCCACGATAACCTCCGCCAACAAGGAGGACTACCTGCAGATGGAGCTGCTGCTGCTGCAGTTCTTTGACTGGAATATCACCGCGCCCAGCGCGGCTCACTTCCTGGGCTACTTCCTGACCGAGGCGTCCGGGAAGTGCGAGAAGTCCTTCCGCAATGACTACCGCGACGACTGCAGCGAGTACTCCAACGTCTACATGCACAAGTACACCAACTACTTTCTGGAAATCAGCTTACAAGGTACGTGGGGGCTGATTGGGCTCCGTGCACAAGTACTCCTTCAACGGCCGCAAAAGGAGAGTTGGGGGAGACCTAGACTGGTTCCCGATCCATCCACTACGTTTTCGAATGATCCAAAGTTATTGGGGCGGGGATTAGTCTGGGAGACCATCGCAAGTTAAATTTGAATATATTTGCACGCCGATGATGCCTGACACTCACGCGAAGACGCTGTGGCTAGAAAGTCTTGTGTACTTCGCGCGCTAACCAGTACAATACAGTACGCACATGCTGTGTGTCCCATTCAAGGAGCTCTCAAAAGTGGTGAAAATTCGCCCTCTTCTGTTGGCGCACGGAGCCCATACTGTGTAGCTGAAAACAGTTGCATCATTTTTTTGTGCTCCCCAGTAAATTGAAATATAAGATGGTAGATTGGGAATGAAGTCCAAGTAGAAAAAAGGAAACCCAAATGGCACCCCCTATTTTAAAAGAAGTTCTGCATGTAGCAGTTTCGAGATCTAGGATATGAAAGCCCAATTCATAAGCTTTTCTTTCAGTGAAAGAAACATTCAAATCACTTATGTACTTTTCCAGTTATGGAATTTTGAACACAAACATAGTGTTCTAACCTTGTCAAAGATAAGTGATGCATTTCAGACAGGCGCGTCCAAACATGCGAGCCCTCTCCCAATGGCCATGGCAAAACACATTCAACAGTAGATTGTAAAAGTAGGTCCAACAGGAATTTTCATTTCCATGAAGAAACAGGGATCTTTGCTGATAATTTTGGCTCATTGTTTCAAAGTTTATTACTGGGTTCACTAGACAGGTAAACTCTCTAAGAACCATGTTTTATTTACTGCATACTAGAGGCATTGTGGTACATTTTGCAATTTTATTAGAAACTTTTCAAGACTGCGATTATCTCGAAATGTGTTTTTCCTCTGAATTGATATGCCCGTCCCTTCGTGAAACTGGTGCCATATTGTGTCCAGCATATCTTCAAAGGTGCTGCTGAAGAAACTCCTGACTTTATTGAAGTTTTACCAGTTTCTTGGTTTTTCATCAGATCATGCCTTTTCCTTCGCCAAGCCTTCGTTGATAGCGGCCTCCTGTATTGCAGCCTCCAGGGTATGCCTTCAGCTGTCGCCCACGTGGACGGCCGGCCTGACAAAGATCACACAGTACAAGTGGGAGCACATAGGACCCTACATAGAGCGAATGCTGAGGTGAGTTCAAGACAAGTGATCATAGGTAATCCCAAGTTAACCCCAAGTCCATCCCAAATCCATCTCAAGTCCATCCCAAGTCTATCCTAAGTCAATCCCAAGTCCATCCCAAGTCCATCCCATCCCATCCCAAGTCAATCAGAAGTCCATCCCAAGTCAATCCCAAGTCAACCCCAAGTCCCTCCCAAGTCCCTCCCAAGTCAATCCCAAGTCAATCCCAAGTCAATCCCAAGTCCATCCCAAGTCCATCCCAAGTCCATCCCAAGTCAGTCCCAAGTCCATCCCAAGTCTTAAAGTCCATCCCAAGTCCATCCCAAGTCCATCCCAAGTCAGTCCCAAGTCCATCCCAAGTCTTAAAGTCCATCCCAAGTCCATCCCAAGTCCATCCCAAGTCCATCCCAAGTCCATCCCAAGTCAATCCCAAGTCCATCCCAAGTCCATCCCAAGCCAATCCCAAGTCCATCCCAAGTTGACCCCAAGTCGACCCCAAGTCGATCCCAAGTCAATCCCAAGTCGATCAAAAGTCATCGCAAGTCAATCCCAAGTTGATAGCAAGTCAAGTCTGGTTTTATAGTCACCTCACAACACCGTTCAAATCTTGGTTTCAAACCATCCACATGACCAGCTTTCGACAAATCGGAATAGGTAAACTGTTCCAGGTATTTACAAATTCAAGTTTGAAGACGCTAAGTGAGAGTAGACAATGATAAACAGAAACGCATTTCCCACGGACAGGACTCATGATGTAGACGAGAAGGCAGCGAAACTCCAATCGAAGGAGAAGACAAACTACAGCAGCGAGAAGACTATAAGCTACTGCGGCGAGGCAGCAGTCAGCTACAGCAGGGCTCTTTGATGACACGGAAGGCCGGAAAAAATTTGGCCAAAACTTTCAAAATTGAACAGCGATTCAGAATGATCTGGACTTGGCATGGCTGTGAACAGTTTTTCTTTTCTTTTTGTATTTCTCCCTGAACCCCCCCCCCCCTCAAAAAGTTGACCCCCCCTCCCATCAGACAGTGGACCCCCCAAAAATAAACACCCCAAAAGTTATAAAAACATTTGTGAAAAAAAGAAATGTTGATGACTTAAACATTTTTTTTTTTTAGCTTTATAGCAGATTTCTGACATATTTTGATTGATTTGAAGTGAGAGTGCAGGAGTGATTAAAAGTTACAGAAAAAAAAAGGAAAAATTAATTTCAAAACTATTTCTAAAGATCTGTTAAAAAAAAATTGAAAAATCATGGAAAACAATTTTAAATTTTAATTCATATGCTGCAAAGTTTGTTTTTTTCAAAAATAGTTCTCATAGAGTGACAGTGAAAAATTCACAATGTCTTGAAAATTGGTGAAAATAACTGAAATAGATGTACCAAATATGTGTACAAATTTGAAAGAAAACAATTGTTTTTTTTTCTTTTTGATTAAAATGATGAGTAAATTAAATAATTTGTAAGCAGCTTGCAGTACTAAATGTACAATGAAAAAAAAGTCTTGACTATTCAGTAATTTTAACATTTGAAATTTGTGGTGGAATAATCTCATAAGCTTGTTCATTAATTAAGAGAAAGTTCTAAATTGAGAAAAACAGTTCTTGTTAGATTTCTTATATACTTGTCTTTCAAATAACGAGTTTAATTAAAGAAGAAAAAACAACGGCTGAATGAAATAGCGGTTCAATTTTTTTGGGATGAAATATTTGTAATTTACGACTGAAAGAGGCCACAAAGTGACCAGAATTTAAGTGCAATTAAAGATGCGAAGCATTAGTTTGAAGGGAGAGTATTTTTTAAACATACTTGTAAAAGAAAATATATAGAAAGATTTATAAAGTTAAAGACTGTTAAATTAAACTACTGTTTTGTACAATGTGCTCAAAAGATCTGAAAATAAGACCCGGCACTTTTTTGTAAGCCTAGCCAGCTCGGAATGTTTTTCTGGGCTTTCTCCCACAAGAAAAAGAAAACATCCGTGTTGCGTCTCATCAAGTATATCAATTAAAATTTACTTTTCGTGCTATTAATTTGCAAAAAATTATTTAATCCATTGAAAAGGTATTTATAACCAGACATTTTAGTGCACTAAATGTATTGAAAAAGATTGAAAAAAAGGCATTTTGAAAGGGAAAAAAAAAAAAAAAAAGGGTTTAATTTGGTTGTTTGAGAAAGATAGATCTCCATGAAAAGTTTAGAGTGCAATAAGTCTTGCCTGAAAAAAAGAAGAAATAGTTTGTATCAGTACTAAAATGAGCAGCTGAAATACAGGTTGCCAGCACTTGTTAATGGAAAGAGATTAGGGAGATTTATTTGGTGACGTTGGCTTTGTAGACTTAAAACGTTACTTTTTGAGAAAGAGGTAGCCATGTCTAACTGTTATCACTTTATTGTTATAATTATTTATAATTGATGCTACTGTGGGATAATGTCAGAAACAACAAATTGAAATGATAGTTAATCTAAGAATGTTAATGCATTTTTTTGTAACTTATCTGAGGGCATCATGCATATAAATGTAAAATGAGGATCTATACCCATCCACTGCCTTCAAACAAGATTACTTCTTTTTGACAATTTTATTCATGAAAATGGCAAAATGACCCAATGATACTGTGACAGGCTAATTAGTGTGTATACAACTCTAAATTGATGTTATTTGTGGGTCATTCCATGCCAACTCAACAAATGTTGCACACCATCACCTCTTGGATTTGTTTCTTTTTTGGTGTACTGAAAGATACTTAGGAGAAATGCAAATTCTGAAAATTTGGGGTCTCTACGACTTTTTGTTCTTGCGCAACAGCATTTTGAAATTTGAGGTGGGCGGGGCCAAAAGTGCGTCGCGTCACGAAATTCAATGTTTAAAGGGCCATATATTTAAAACTATACCCCCAGACATTTCAAATATTTAAACAGAAAGAAAGTAGCTTGTTTCATTTTTAAGTTAGAGGGGCCCCAAAATGGCCCAAAACCCATCTGGACCAATGTTTGGGGGGGTGTAAGTCAAAAATTGAAAATATTTTTTTCACCAATTTTTTTGCCTGTAATAGCCCCCAATTGAAACTACTTTCATGTAAAATCTTACACTTATATTAACTTCATTGAATGAGATATAGCCCTTGCAAAAAGCAAATTTCTTATTTTTACGATAACTTGACCCCCCCAAAAACCAACGTCAGACATTCCGCACCAAATTTTGCTTCACATATGTTTGAGGTTGGTCCTTAGTGAAGTCCTCTGAAAAGTTTCATGTTGGTGTCTAAATGTCTTCAGTGGATAGCTGGGCTTTATAATGAGTCTATATCTTACGATGCTGCAGGTTCCGTAACATACAAGTACATGTACTTGTATTTTACGGAACCAGCACAACAAAATCCCTGTTGATAGACTGTTGATAGACTTGGGTCAAGACTACCCATTTCCTGCTCAATAAACAGTTGCTTGTAGACCTATGTGTGCATTATAGGCAAATTAGGTTAAATGACTTGAGAGTCTTATTCTTTCCATGTGCTCATCACACAGCATGCATGTCATGTACATGTATACATTAACCAGTTCTCACTTGCACAGCATAGTATAGCACTAACCTGAACCAAAGAGAAGTGATTCAGTTTGAGTAAAGGGTCTATGGTTTTAACCTGATTGATCTTAGTTTTCATTATGGATAAGGGGAACCTAGTTCATGCAGGAAACTCATCATGCACCAATTGTAGCAGCTGACCTCAACCCAGGAAAATATGTTTGTGTGGTCTATGATGATGTTTGGTACATTGCTATTGTAGAAGATGTATCACAACTTCATGAGGATGTGTATGTCCGCTTCATGTACAGGACGGAATCAACAAATACTCTCTATTGGCCACAAAGAGAGGATAAATGTAACATTCCATTTGTTGATGTGTTGTGTTGCGTACCAACACCAGAACTTCTACATAGCGGTGGAAGGCAATACAAACTTAGTGAGCCAACCATCATGCAACTCATTCAACTTCATCAAAACTACATCACAAGGAATGCATAATTTCACCTGTGAAACTGTAAACAATTATATCAACTGATCAAAAGTCTACATGTACAAATGTAAGCTAAGTTTCATACCCAACTTATTCTTTATGTACCGACTGCTGTTATTCTTGGTACAATGTACGTGTACTTGTATGTTACAGAACCAGCATCGTAAGATATAGACTCATTATAAAGCCCAGCTATCCACTGAAGACATTTAGACACCAACATGAAACTTTTCAGAGGACTTCACTAAGGACCAACCTCAAACATATGTGAAGCAAAATTTGGTGCGGAATGTCTGACGTTGGTTTTTGGGGGGGTCAAGTTATCGTAAAAATAAGAAATTTGCTTTTTGCAAGGGCTATATCTCATTCAATGAAGTTAATATAAGTGTAAGATTTTACATGAAAGTAGTTTCACTTGGGGGCTATTACAGGCAAAAAAATTGGTGAAAAAAATATTTTCAATTTTTGACTTACACCCCCCCCCAAACATTGGTCCAGATGAGTTTTGGGCCATTTTGGGGCCCCTTTAACTTAAAAATGAAACAAGCTACTTTCTTTCTGTTAAAATATTTGAAATCTACAGCAAAAAATAGCCCAGATTACCAAGTTTGAAATGTCTGGGGGGTATAGTTTTAAATATATGGCCCTTTAAACATTGAATTTCGTGACGCGACGCACTTTTGGCCCCGCCCACCTCAAATTTCAAAATGCTGTTGCGCAAGAACAAAAAGTCGTAGAGACCCCAAATTTTCAGAATTTGCATTTCTCCTAAGTATCTTTCAGTACACCAAAAAAGAAAAAAATCCAAGAGGTGATGGTGTGCAACATTTGTTGAGTTGGCATGGAATGACCCCTGTATGTTATTTTTATGCGTTTTCTAAAAAAAAAAAGGAAAGAAAAAAACCTCAGGGAAGAAAATAGTAATTGATAATTGATTGCCTTAAGATTGTATACAGAAGTGAAAGTTTCGTTCACATTTTGTAGATGTATTGTAGAGTAAACCTAGTTTGTATATATTTCTAGAATAAACAAAACCGAAATCTTAATATTTGAGCCAAAAACAAATCATGCAGAATGACAAGTCAAGAAGAAAATTACTTTTTTTTTTAAAGTGAGACCAGCAAGCTTGCGAAAACTATAACGAAAAGAGTGTCTGTGATATAAATTGACGAATGAGAAGAATATAATTTGAAATTTTTCGAGCTCAAAGCTTTATTTATATCAACCATGTTTAAGTATTTTCCAGTCAAGGAAAAAAAAGTGCCAAAAGTATCTATTTGTTTGTAATTTACTTTCATAAAAAGTGATCGGGTATTAAAACGGTATTAACTGAACTAAAAATAACCTGTTTTGCCAATTCATTGCAACTGTAATTATTTGGATTTAATTCTCACGACTCAAAAGCTGCCTTAAATTGGATATATAATCTAAACAAATCTTGTTTTTATACTTTTGTTTCTTCATAAACTGATCAATTTCTTCAACTGACCTATAATATATGCTCCTCAGAATAAAGAACCTATTGAATTTGATACAAGAGATAAATATCTGTGACTAAAAACAAAGCCAGTCTTAAAAACCTATGTTACTGGCATATCACACAAAAAACTTCCAAACAAAAAAAAATTGCCATTTAGTGACGACAAATATTCCAAACAGTAGTTTGTTAAACTAAAGCCCCGAGTTATGTAAACGCACTCTTAATAAATGCAGCATGAGACCACGTCTTGAATTGGAACAATTTGCTGATTTTTCAGTTCAGTTTGCATTCATTTCTGTGAGCGCAGGATTATTTTCTTACATAAAATCTCATACATTTCGGCTGAACTTAACCTTTGTTTACAATATATTGAGCACCTGCATCTATGTCAATAACGATAATTCTGTATTAGGCCAAAAAAAAAGTACTCGGTCTCTGGTCAGCACGCGCGTCGATTTTAATCATGCGCGTCAACCTTTTTTTTTTCCTTCAAATTAACACAGAAGCTACAACAGCACCCTCTATTGCCGTACCTCCTCAAATTTTTGTACCAAGGAGCACCAAGGAATTGGGAAATTGCACCAAGGCAAATGATAAAGGGCACCAAGGCAAATTATGGAGGACACCAATGTATAATGAGGACACAAACAAGCAAAATAGTACCCACCTTGTCTGTACAATTCAAGCTTGAAAAAAAAAAAGGCACCAAAAAAATATTAAAAAAACGCGTCGCCACATCAATTCCGGAACTTCGGTCTGACCAGAGACCGACTATTTTTTGGGGGGCCTTAAATAACTTAAAACATGTAGAAAACATTTCACTGAATAACATTCTTATAACATTAAAAACTTGACAAACCCAGAATTGCACACTGATTAATAACGGAATGTATACATGCAAATCCGTGCAGAATCCCGGCTTGAACATTTTGAGGCGGTATACCTGCATGTTCAGTAATCTATAAATTCAGTGAAGGCACTTTGCCTAGCCGTCTTTGAGCTTACGAAACACAATAAATAAATCCCTGAACACATTCTCAAGTAATTTCAGAAATTCTACAAATTTCAGGGGGGAAAAAGTTTCCAAATAAACTACAGTAAGTTATGCTAGGTTTACACATTCCCGATTTTTAAGCCGAAACGGCGCGAATAGCAATTCTTGAGTAAATCGGGGAATGGTTCTTGGTTGCCTCGGGATGATTCTGTTAGTTCGGTGAAAGATTGGGAAATGCCCCGGCAATTTTGGACATATTCAAAATTGTCCGGTTTGATTCAGGAACCAATTTCAATTCTTGGTTTATTCTTGTTTTATTCATAACTAATTCTGGATATTCTTACAGCATTCTGGATATTCTTACAGCATTCTTACAAGTTTCGTAGAGTTATTTTTTGTGTTAACAGTCCAGAATCACACCGAATCATTACAAATGTATCAAGAAATGTACGAATATTATAAGAATAACTTACCAATACCAAATTGGCATAATTTTGGGTCATTTTGGATGGTTCTTGAGTTATTCGTAAGTTATTCTTGACAAAATTGCTACAATTTTGTTTTATTCAACACTCAATTGCAATCGTTCGGCTTGGTTCGGTCTGATTCGGCTTCCAATATGTACCTAGTTCTTGATTATTTTTGTTTCTTTCTTAAGTTATTCTTAAACAGCGAATTGGGGCTAATTTCTCCCGATGCCGTCAATTTTTATTCGGGATAGATCAAGGTGTTCGTGACAATAATTCGGGAATGTGGGAACCTCTCAGATCCCCCTACAAAAAAAGGAAAACAACTTGTGACGAATAGAACACGCATGACATTGAAAGGATAAAATTCTTTCCTGAAGTAACATGACCCTAACTGACCTTTGGGGTCAGAGGTCATCATAAGACATGTAAGACTGCACCGCCCTCCACAGTGCCCTGATGTTGCCAGCTCCGAAGCCTGTCGCGCCGTGCCTCTGTATGAACTCCAAAAAGAAGGTGTCCCGTTCAAAGATGGGCTTCGTAAACGTCTGCATCAGATACCTGGTTCATGGACATCAGAAAAAAATATATTAACAAAAATGTAAAAATCAGTGGTAAAAATTCCCCCCCTCCCAAAAAAAAATCATCTGTATGTTAAAATGAAATAACTTGGGAAGTGCGTTCAAACTTGGGTTCTCCGAATACACGAAGGCTTCAACACCTCGGAACCGGTGACATTACACACTTTTTGTTTTCCAACCACAGTTTTGTTGCATGTAACAAAATGAGCGTTTTGGGGATAATTCTTCATAAACAGGCTGTCACGAAAAAAAAAGAACCCTAAAAACGCCCTCTTTTTCACAGTTTTCAAACAAATACATCGCAAATATCGATACATATTTGGATAGTATAGTGCATTAGCTTTTTAACAATGAAAACACTGTTCCAATTGGGTAAATATTTATTGAGTTATGGTCAATTAAAAAAAAGTGCTGATTGTTAATTTTGTCCACGGTCTGAATTACCATTAATTGGCCTGTAATGGATTTGGGGTGAGGGTAGTTTGCTTTCTTTAATCTTTTTAATCTTTCTTTCTTTAGTTTTTTCTTTTTCATGTTTTCATTGTTTGCAACAATGGTCATTTCTCGTTTTGCAAGAAATGGTAGTCCTGAAAAGGACTGTTTAGTTTAACTTCTTAGATGCTTACTGTGCTGCTCTGCCTCTGCCCTCTACTTGGAAGCCTCTTTCACGGATGCAAATTTCGGACCGTGTTCTTATTGCGGCAGTCAAATGTCAGTCGCCGCAGACAAGATGAAAAAGCGGCACTTGTTTTTAATTGGCCATAACTCAATGAATAGTTACCCGATTGGAAATGTGTTTTTGTTGCTGAAAAGCTAATGAAATAGACTCTCTAAATGTGTATCGATATTTGCGATGTGTTTTTTAAAGCTGTAAAAAAGAGGGCGCTTTGAGGGTTCGCGTAGAGATATGAAGTCTGTATGTTGATTTTGCTGCAAGCATGGGCATCAATCCTGGGGGGGGGGGGGGGACACCCCCCCCCCTTTTGAAGGATGGGGGTCACAATATCAAATGTCCCCCCAGATTTTGAACTCGTGTCTCATTTAAAGGGCTCTATTATATACAATGTAACTTTTGCTAAGAAAATATTGGTCAGAAATTGCCTCAGATCGCACCACAGAGCATCTAGAAACCAGAATTTTCGGGGCCCTTAAACGGGCCTGAACCACCTTTTGCTAAAAAAATAATAGCTGATTCAATGACTTCAACCTCGAAAATGATTTTTAAATTATTATCTTTTGCTAAGAAAATATTGGTTAAAGTGGTCAGAAAATTGCCTCAGATCGCACTACAGAGAGCGTCTAGAATCAATTTTTTAGGGGGCCCTTAAGCAGGCCCCGAACCCCACGCCGTAAAGGCTTCGTGCTTTGCGCTCGCATTAGTTCTGATCATACATGTCCTGCCCACTTTTGAGAAGCGATTGACGCCCCTGGCTGCAAGTGCACAGACCATCTTCGGGACAAAAAAATTCCACTCTGAACTGCCGATAATGTGCATACTGTTGAATATAAATGCACGATCTGCACGTGCATAATCAAAACTTCTTTTGTAACATATACATGTATTTGGTGATTTTCAAATACTTTTCTTATTCAACAGTTCCTCCCTTTTTTCTCTTCAAAAACAGCATTTGTGATGTAAGTTTGTCAGAATGGGTTTTTCACTTTTTTCTGGTTGAGCTATGCATAAATTTGAGATGATATTAATACTAACTTGCAGTGGGTCTTTCCATCTTGAATCTTGTGCCCGTCTTTTACTGAGTTCCCTTCAACGTCGTCATTGCAACAGGTCTCCTCATCCAGGAGGATGCCCATCCTCTGGAGGAGGTCCACGTCATCCCTGATGCGGGAAATCTCAGTCAGCTTGCCCACCTGCCACAGGAATCGGTGTTTGTGTTCAAAATTCCGTAACTTGAAAAGTACATGAGTGGATTGAATGATTTTTGTACTTTCATATCCTAGATTTGGAAAGAGCTACTCGCAAACTTCATTCATAAATTGGTCCTGCCATTTGGTTTTTTTTTTTTCTCACCCTGTAGAGTGAGTGAGGACACGCGTGTATCCTCCCAAACTCTCCCAGGAGTAACATCCATGACTAGGAGACGACCTACTTTTTAAAGCCAGAGTCCATCATTTGCAGCTATCCAAAAAGTAACTGGCGTAATTATTGTTGAAAAATATACTTGGTTGAAAGATAGTAAGGGGACTAAACTCCCTGTGAAATTATTCTTTCTGGCAAGCTGTCATTTTGAAGAAATCAACAAAAGAAGGCCTTTCCAACGGTGCTTCTTAAGACGCACCGTAGGAAATTCAAATTCGTAGTTCGTTTTGTTATTCGGCGAAGCAAGCGCAAGCATTTGCACGACGCATACTTGCGCGCGGTTGCTATAATTCGTCAGATCAGTGCACGACATCGCGTAGCTGCAATCGGCTCAGTGAGAACGTGTCTCGGACGCTGAATTCAGGCCCAATTCAAAACATGATTCAGCAACTTTTGATTTGAAATTGAGATCCTAGAATGTTGTTTTTCTCGAAATATACAGCTAAAGATGAGCTGAAACTTCATCAGGTTAGTTGTTCAACACCCTTCTTTAGATCTTGAGCACTTTTGTTGCTTCAAACGAACAAAATGCACAAATTACAAATGATGGACTATACCTTTAAAAAACCTACCTGGGTGTAGTAAGCCGGGGGTGGTTCGATGAAGTCGAGACCAGCCTGGCGGAGACTGCTAACTGCTTGCAGGATGTTGGGGGTGTGGAGACCAATGTGCTGGATACCTGCGCCGCCGTGCTGCTCCAAGAATCTGTCGACCTGGTTAGGACCTGATGACAAAAAAAAATGATTATTTCAGCAAAACAATTCTACGGATTTCTATGGAATCAGTTGATGACAAACAAACTAGACAAACAGCGAGTGGGAAATGTGAAGCATGCTGGAAAAATGAGACAGAACTGGGCAGAGGTCGAAATGAGGGTTTGCGGGTATCAGAAATGAGAATAAAATTTTACCTTACAATACTGTTTGTTGCACTTCAATCAGAAATTCCATTGACAAGTTATGGCTGCTGAAAGTTTGCATTTATCGACATGTCAAAAAAAGTAAAACACTGAGAAAAAGTACACTTTCTGATTCTGAAACTGATCTGTATTGCAATTAGTCTAAGGATCAGATGTTCACATGTGCAAAGCCACACCCGAACGTCTGATGCATCTGAGCGTGCACATTTTATGAGACTTCGCGTGCCAGCAAATCGGAGTTGACTTTAGAAAAATTGTGATGTCATTTCGAGCAGAAAGTCGGCGTAAGCTGTTGATTGGTCAATTGGCTGCCATGTGTTTGTAATACAACTATGGGTTACCGAAGACCCGATAGAAGGCGCCCGCTGATTGGTCAGAATCTGGAGATCAAGATGCATTTGAAAAGAGCCTCTGTTAGTATTTAGCGCTAGCTTGTTCCGAAATGTGTGTACCTTGGCCAGGCAATGCCTCTGCTATGACAAACTTGGCCTTGGGTGGGCGTGGCTTGCTGGCATCCTCCCCCTTTTCCTGTCCGGCTGGTAGCGTCAGGCCGGTCTCCGCACAGTGCCAGTACTCCATGGCCTTCATGCGGAGTCCTACGTTCTTGCCTTGGACAACGAATCCCTCAGATTCACTTTCTTCACTGAAAAACAATTACACACAGTTTTTTTTTCACTCTGTAAATATACCCTGCTAAATCCAACAAAGTCTGATGGTTACTTATAATCATATGAGTTTCCTGCTCAATCCAACACAGTCCAACACAACCCAACTTGTCAAGTTGTTAGGTACCTGAAAAAATATAAAATGACTGGCATGCTCAATCCAACAGAATCCAACTGTGCCTTAAAGAGGTTGTGGAATGCTGAAAGTCATTTTGTTTTTTATATTTTTTTTATTGTAGAGTAGACCCATATATATCATAATGACAAAGTCCCATTCTTTTGTAATGTGCGTTTATGTTTATAAAACTGAAATTCAGGGAGTAATTTGTTGGTCGGCGAGCGCATAATTGAAATCAACAGTCGTCGGGTTCTTCGTAGAAACCGGAAAAATCGGGACGTAATAAACAGGACTCGTTTATACTACGCTGCAAAGGGAGTCCTGTTTATTACGTCACGATTTACTATGTTTTGTTTGCTGACCCAAACGACGACTTTTACACATATTGCACGTTCGGGTCGAAACACCATCTGAAAAACAGCTCTCAAAAGTACCTTTTGTACTCATTTCATGACAGAAACAATAGTGGTTTTTATTTCATCACACCTTAGGCTACATACATGTATACCCGAAAAATGACGGAAATGTCTTCGAGCATTCCACAACCTCTTTAATTTTTCTGTTTGCTGCTGGATCCAACAGAGTCCAACTTGGCGTTATTTACCAGTACCCAACAGAATCCGACTCTGAATGTTTTCAGTTGCCTGCTGAATCCAACAGATTTCAACAGGAATAGATACAAGGCATTTACTACTCAATCCAATGGAATCCAACAGGAATGTGACATCGTTGGATGCTGTTGGATTGAGCACGGTTAGGGTTTTTAAATTAACCGTTATGTACCTCATGAGCAGAAATCGTTTCATTCCAAAGCACTTCTCGTAAAACTCCAGAGCTTCCGAGGACGATCCAATTGGACAAGCAAAAGTCACATGATCAATATGGCTCATAAGGCACATTGGGGGTCCTCCGTTTACTAGCGATGTATTATGAGTTGCTTTTGAATTGTTTCCTATAGATCCACCTATTAAGTTAGAACGATCACCAGCTGCGACAAAACCAGGTAGGAACACTCCATTGTACGGAGAACTGTCAATAAGCGTGTGGACGACATTGCCGATGCAAGATTGTACAGCTGCAATGGTCACATGCCCACCGTTTGTCGGGTCGCTGATAACGGCTGGCTGACATAGAACCTTAGCTCCATTCGACGCAGCTCTGGCTAAGGTTTCTGCGACGTCCCTCACTTCAAACGCAACATTGAAAACTGTGTCTCTGTGCTCATTTGGTGGGTATGCTGTCCGAGATGTCTCGGATATTTTTAACAACTTTGACGGTTCCAGAAAACATTCATCTGGTATTGCTGATAAATGAACCGGTTCTGGCCGTTTTAATTCTGCTTGAGATCTTGTTTCGGTTTCTTGACGGTTACTTTTCACATCTGCGTCGTTATCACTTGCTGCTAGTGAGTCTTCTGTAAGAGCTGTATCAGCCATGTCAGTGATAACGAACACGATAGAGCCACTCTGGACTGCCCACTGCCTGAGGTTGGCGGTCTTGCGCGTGGCGAAAAGCCGGAAGTTGGCGTTTCGCGTGAACTTCTGGAGGTACTTGGTGCCATTTTTGACAAAAATCTGGACATGGTGTATGTGCGCCATTTTGTGAAGATCACTTCTGTATAAAAAAAACAACCAAATATCAATCAATTAAAGCAACAGCATAGAGCAAGGAAACAGCTCTACGATAACACTTTCAACAGACAGCCAAATGTTAAATTCGGTGAAATAATTATTAATTGACCAGACTTTACAACGTGCCCCTAATGTTGTTAAATTATGCAAATGAAAGGTCAGTGCGTAGAAATAGGATCGCGTAGTTTTAAAGCCAAAAAGGTCTGACGAAATATAATTTACTAATTTAGCGTAAATAAAAGAAGTTGTGAATGCCTGACTTTTTGAGGAATCTTCTAGTTCCAAGAAACAGCTGAAACACAACCTGTTTTAATCATGTTGCATGTTAATTCCGCCATGCTGGTTAACAACATTGGCCTGCAACGTTAGCCTGCTACATGTACGTTATTCATGTTATTAATTACGTTAATTCATTCATTCTTTATTTCCACATAACTGGTGTCTAGGTAATACAAAAAGAAAAGTAAATGTGGATGGGGGTCCCCAAAAAGCAACTGCTTATACTTAGTTATAAAACTATATTTAGTGCAGTAATACTAATAATTGTGCAGTCAATCACACTTTACACACTCTTTAGTTTAGTTTACCAATTATCATGTACGACGTACGTAGAGACACAGCTTTTGACACACACTGATCATGAGATGTTTCCACCAGTGTCCACCGGATCGGAAGAATGTAGGCAATGGAATAGTGTGACCCTACTAGGCCTATAGTTTAAATATCCTACAGTACAGTTTCGCGACATGAAGACATCGTAGTCCCAGTATTACATCATCCACATCCCCAAGAATTGCATAATTTACTCAGATGCCGGCCGGTTTGGCGGCGTTCGTTCGCAGCTCGACCGTACCGGCGATCATCACATGTGGTGCAGAAGATAGTCTGGTGCCTGGTTGCAATGTCACTGTCCACTCGTATGAGGAAAAAGGCTCCCAACAGGATCTAGGAGTAGGACCTGATGATTTTTTTTGCTGCCGACCTCGCGCGCTTCTTCTTTCTAGTAAAAGTTGTACTTAGGCCTAGGTCCTGTGATAAAGTCCTAATCGTATTCGTAGGTCGGTTTTTGCAAAGGCATTGGATTAGAAGAGTTTAAAAAGCAGTTTATTTCTGAAAAGGTTGGAGTAAGGCATGTCACGACAATCAGGATCCGTCGGAAATTCTTGGAGGTACAAGGCATTACGAGGAAGACCGAAACCAGTGAGTTACATTTTTTACTCGCCAGCGCGCAGCGCAGCCTTGAGATGCCGCCGTGCGGTGTAAAGTTCTCCCTGCTGATCGGCCGTATTGGAAAAAAAAATATTTAAAAATAAAAACTTAAAAGGAAATAATTTTTACGCCACGTTTATTAGAGTACATATTCTATTTACTGTGGGTATATTTGAAATTTCAAATGCTAGTTTTCTAACAATAGTAAATGTTTATAATCCATGGAAAAATGATGGAGGTAAAAAATTGTGTTTTCTGTGAGCTAGCTAGCTTGAGTATAAACTGGACTTTCAAGTAGAGTAACTCCAGCCATGCTCCAGCATTTGTCCAGCTGACATGCTCACGACATGTAAACAGCTGAGTGCTCATGGCCTCAGCATTTGCTTTGATGAAAAGCTGAGTATTGAATAGTGGCACTCTCTCCCCTGTTTCGACCTACTGCTTCTCCCTCCTTTTGCCCATCTTGCTCCTCCCCCCATCTCCCTCTCCTCCTGCCTCACCTGCTCCTCGAGTCCTCGTGCCTCTCCTTCGCCAGTGCCTGGAAGCAACTGCGCACCTCCAGAGTGTACTGGGCTTGTAGATCTTGTCATGAGGAGAAGACCTTCCAGTCCACCTTCTCCTTGGGGCCAGCTGACTTTGGTTGTCTTAACTCTTAAGCTGAGTCTTACTCGTATGGACACAACTCTATGGTCCGAAGAGAGGGAACTGAAGCTGCTGTCTGTTTTGGCGTTTGTGACATTCTTGCACCATTTGCACCGAACGAGAATAAAGTCAATCTGATGTTTAGCATCAGTCGCTCGATCCTAGTACGTACAGAGATTTCCACGTCTCTTTTGATAAAGAGTGTTGGCAGCGAGTAGACCCTGTTCTTGGAGAAGATTGACCAGGTGATGACCATTTCTGTTTGAGTCGCCAGTGTGATAAGTGTAGCTTGCGTCGTTTTGGCCGAGACATGCATTGAAATCAACCAGCACAGCCAGGAAGTTGTGGGGTGGAACTTGCTCAAGCGCGTCCAAGAGATCAGCGTAGAATTGCTCCACTGCTGCCTCATCACTGCAGTTGTGAGGGGAATAAGCCACAGTGACTGAGGTGAAGGACTTGAGGGCATACTGAGATGACACCCCGCAGCGACTTCTGTGTGCTTCAACTGAGTAGCAGGCCAACTCCTCCTCGAGCCGAGCAGGTGGTCAGGCTCTCTCCATGCTGATGAGGTGATCAGGTGTATTCCCTCCACTTCCTGGAACTTGAAATCCTCCTCCATGTGGACAATGGAGTCTCTGCTCCTGGATTCCGAGGATGTCTATACCGCAGTTCTTGGTACAGGCAGCTAACTCCTGTGTCCAACTCTCAGACTTTAAGGTCAGTGCATTGAAGGTCTATCGAACTATCCTCTTCTTGCACTTCAAAAGGGGTGCAGTGATCCTGGTTTTGAAGTCAGACTGGACCCTCCTTGAGGGGTTTAAGGATCCGTCGTCACACTGTCCAGGTGGTCCCAAACCTTGACCAGCTGCGCAATACTCCTAGGGATTCCGGCCCTTGTATGTGATTTGTGCGTGTCCTATTCGTCATACTTTATTATGTTATACAAGCCCAGAATTGCCAGCCTCCGGGCCGACTCGGCCTTTGTGTAACCCTCATCTGCCCTTAGCTCCATCCCCTCAACAACTTCGCAAGACGTGAGTCTCTCGTAACCAGTTGCACTGCAGGGCACAGTTCCAGCCTGCGGTAGGTACAGAAAGCTGTACTCCTCCACCTCAAGGTGTGGCGGAACATCCGACCCTTGACAGTTGAGCGTGATTGCGCGCTTCATCCTCCCTCAAAGACTAGAGACACAATTGCCTTCCTATTTTGCTGCATAGGAAGACCTTCAACCAAGACTAACGAACTCGCAGACTGCCGACCTACAATCCTGGCCAAATCTTGTTGGGCCCCCGACCCCCCTGGCCCCCGCTCAATGTCGTCTCTCATGATGCGGTGTGTGCTCCATCAGCTGGAGTGAACAACATTGATTGGGGGAGCAGGGGAGTGGGTGACCGTAGGAGGCTAAGGAAGTGTCCCAACCATTTTGGCCGGGATTGTAGGCTAAAGAGTTCTACCTACCTGCAAATGATCTACTTTACTTTTAACTGGTCTTTATCACTCCAATTGTTGTGTGGTGTTTTCTTGTTGTCATTTTAACCCTCTTCCAATGACATTCTTGTTGCTTTTTAACATCACCAGCTATTTTGATGAGTCTAATTTCACTTGTTTTGAAATCACTCTATTGCAGCTGATTATTCGACTTACTGCAGTCAACCAGTATATCACCTGCCACCTCTGTGGTGGCTACTTGGTGGATGCAACCACAATCATTGAATGCCTGCACACATGTGAGTTATATATCAGCAACGGCATAACTAGGGTTAAACTTCTCGAGGAGGCACCTGGGGGTGCCTAAGTTTTTCAAGGGGGGCACTGAAGGCAACTGATATGTTTAAAGCTATAGTCCATCATTTGCAGCCATCCGAAAAGTAACTGGCGTAATTATTGTTGAAAAACAAACTTGGTTGAAAGATAGTAAGGGAACTAAACTCCCTGTGAAATTATTCTTTCTGGGAAGCTGTCATTTTGAAGTAATCAACGAAAGGAGGCCTTTCCAACGGTGCGTCTTAAGACGCACCGTAGGAAAATTTAAATTAGTAGTTCGTTTTGTTATTCGGCGAAGCGCGTGCAAGAATTGGCACGACGCACACGCGCGCGCGGTAACTATAATTCGTCGGATCAGTGAGCGACGTCGCGCATAGCTGCAATTCAAAACAATTCAAAACATGATTCAGTAACTTTTGATTCGAAATTGAGATCCTAGAATGCTGTTTTTCTCGGAATATACAGCTGAAGCTTAGCTGAAACTTCATCAGGTTAGTTGTTCAGTATCCTTCATTAGATTTTGAACACTTTTGTTGCTTCAAACGAACAAAATGCACAAATTACAAATGATGGACTATATCTTTAAGTGCAATTCAAGATTTTAAATGGGGGGGGGGGGGCACTCGGGGGCATGGACCTCAGCTAGGGGGCATGTGCCCCTCCCCCCCCCCCCCCCCCCACCATCCCTTAGTTTCACCAATGTGTATCAGGAAGGTTCATAGGCACAGCAGCAAGTACACATATATGTGTACCATGTTTAACATGAAGATCATAACAGAATGGACAAATTTCAATTTCCAGTGTAAACATTAGGTTGAGCAAATGAATTGACTGCAGCATGATTTGAAACTGCAGGCTCATATATTCAGCACCAGGACTCCGCAAACTTGGCTATCCAGCCCTGGCAGTTTCTCAGTTGTTCATGTTTTTGTGATTTTTTTATGTATGCTTACATTTTGTCCCCAGTTGATTCACATTGCATTATTTAACACAAACAGCCTGCTACTTCAATTATATTTACTAGTCCTTTTTATTCATTGCAGTTTGTAAGAGTTGTCTCATTCAGTACCTGTATACCAGCAAGCGATGTCCTACCTGTGATATTCTCATACATGAAACCAACCCATTCAGTAGTATCAGGTAATTTTGTTAACACCCCAAAACTCAAGATGCTTGGATAAGTACTAATGCTCTTTCATTAAGTACACATATCTACCAATATTGGTGCTCAAGATAGCACACTATTATTATCCCTGCTCATTTGGCCTATTAACGTTCCAAATGCCATCATACTACTCTCTCGGGAGTACATAGCTTGATGCTGCCATTTCAGTGTAAATCAGCTAAGGCAAAAAAAAAAATATTTCTGCTTCCGATTACATGGCATTTGAAAATAGGGTAGGTAGGTAGGGCATTTTTTTTTTTTTGGCCAATTTAGTGTGTACGATCATATGGAGGTGTCTGCGTGTAGTCAAGGGTAAAAGGTAGAAAACTGATGGTTTTGGGTGTTTTTTCCTCATTTTCCCATAAAAAAATTAGGGTAGGGGCTGTCAGAATAGGGTAGGTAGGGAAACTGGAAGCAGAGCTATTACTTTTTTTGGCCTAAAATCAACCTCAATAAGCACGTGCCCTCACAGGTACATGTACCCATCTAAACCTGGGTGGAGAGAAGCAAACTGTGACAAAGTGCCTTGCCCAAGGATACGCACCACAGTCTCTCGGGCTTGACTTGAACCCACAACATTTTGAATTATTTTGAAGATCCAAACCATGACGCCACAGCACTCCATCTAACTCCACCATGAATACTGTTTCTTGCTATATTTGCCATAACGTAGTGACTTGCTTGTGTACTCTTCCTAAATGTTGTTCACAATTTCTGAGTGAAAGAAAAATCATATTTTTTTGCAGGCATGACAGAACAAAGCAGGATATTCTAAACAAACTCCTACCATATGTTGCATCAGGTAATTGATACAGTTTTTAACTTTCAATGTCTTGATTTCCCTGTAAGCATTGTGTTCTAGTGGTTCTCTCTTTTCTTCATTAAAGGTAGGGTAGATCATTTGTCATTTGTGCATTTTAATTTTTTTTTCATTTGAAGCAACAAAATTGCTCAAAATCTTAAGACGGGTGTTTAACAACTAACCTGATGAAGTTTTAGCTCTGTGAATGCTGTATATACCGAGAAAACAATATTCTAGGATCTCGATTTCAATTCAAAAGTTGCAGTCATTTTTTGAATTTCGCCCGAAATCATCACCTTGGACACGTTCTCATTTAGGCGATTGCAGCTACGCGATGTAACCCACTGAACAGACGAATAACAGCAACTGTGTGCAGGAGTGTGTGGTGTCAACGCCTGCGCGCACCTATTCACAGATTCGCCGAATTACAAACCAACTACTAACAGAAATTTCCAAAAATGCGTCACTTGTACGGTACGGTAAAGACTCATAACGTGACCTACTTGTGGGCCTACACGTTATAGACTGTGCGTGATTGACTACAAACCACATGCATGTACAATCGCATGATGGGTTGACGTTGGTCGTACCGGACACAGTAACTCTGCAATAATATTGCACCGCGTGAATTTCCGATCTGTTTCCATTTTTTATTTCGTTTTGTTTTTCACAAGATGGCTTAACCAAACTGACCCGACCTGAAAATCGCAAGCGCAAGACTGAAACTGACCCGACCCGACTGAAATGATGAAAAAACCGACCCGACCTGACCCGACCCGGAGTCGGTTTCGGGTCGGGTTGGTTTCTATTTCGGGTCGGGTTTGGTCAACATTAAGACTGACCCTCTTTGGTGCCAGCAAAAACTGACTTTTGGATGATCAACTCGATATTTTTACTTGTGTGACCTTATCATACACTGTTGCATCATAGTTGCCACAATGACTGGAGTGCAGAAGTAATTATTTTTCCTGATTTGTTTTGTTCTTCTTTATTCCCTCCAGATGAAATAGAAAACCAGAAATTGTTCTACAAGAGCAGGGGAATCACTGCACCTCCAAAAGGTAATTCATTTAAAAAAAAATTTTTTTTAGAAAAATAGTTTTCGTAACAAAATAAATGTACATGAAGTGCTATCGTAAACTGCTCAGACAAAAATGAACTAGGATATTCAATACTGAACCACCATGGGATCAAAGGTTTAGGGTTCGTTGCAGCGGTTGTAAGAACAGCAGTGGTCCAGGCTGGATAAACACCCGCAGGCCGTATCAGTAAACCAATGACGACCGCAGTGCAGACACTCGCCGCAAAGCATTATGGGATTGCTACGCAATGCGCTTATAGTACAAACTTTAAGTTGAGCACATCCTATTCTGTTGGTACATATATGGTACAGTGTTGGCTAATATACACAAAATGAATGCTTATGAGTGCAATGGTAAGAATAATTTCATGAGGGGACAGATGGAATGTTCACCGAGTGGAATGGAACATTCCATCTGTCACCGAATAGAAATTCATTATTTGTTTTATACAAAGCCAAAATATATCCTCGTCATCTGATTGGTCAGAGCCACCAGTAGTGTGACCATGAAATAGAACTTCTATTGACCGTGGAATAGAACTTCTAGTTTTGTGGTACGGCTGTGCCGTGGGTTGGGACGAATAATTCAACGACCAACCAATCAGATGACAGGTATTAATTTAGGCATTGTATAATCTCTAATGTCCACCCTTGTGACATCGAACTTACAATTTACTTTTTTGTTGTGTTATTTAGTTGATTCTCGCACACCTAGTCCTTCGCCTTCACCTTCGCCTAGTCCTTCGCCTTCACCTTCCCCGACACCACCGTCTTCTGTCTGCCATATAACAGACACACACATATCCATACTGCTGGAGTTTATAGGGTAAGCATCAAGAAATTGGATAATCCTGCACTAATTTACCTTCACCCGATTTCATGAAACTCAGCGTCGTAACTTAGGATGCGTTGCAGTGCTACAACGTGTACTATCCTCACAACGCATCACGGCTGCGATGCGCCATGTGAACCTCTTTATAAAACATGTTGGAAGTGTGATTCATCATATTTGAACTTATACATATAGCCCAATATACAGTCCTTTTAATTTTGAAAATCACAGATGTGTGGAAAAAGGCACACCTGGATTTTTCTAGGTGTGTGATTCTGTGGTCCAAACTGGGACTGAACAGTCTGTTATTTACTTTATGATATTCATCTTGGTTTACAGTAAAGCCATTTCAAGAGTTCACATAAGTATAATTATGCTGTAAATGTATCCTGAGGTGCGTGGTGCAGAGGGATTCAGGCGTGGGATTATTCGCTTTTCTCGGGAAGCTTTAGGCGTGCGATGGCCTGGGGTGCGATCGCACGCCTCAAATTAGAAGGACTGAATATTGGCTTGTCCTGACTAGGCTTGTCCAGCCTAGGGCAACAGATGGATTATGTGAAAGGGAAGTTGTCATTACAATTTTCAACATGTAAAATATTGTGAATTGATGACTATAATGAAACGAAGAGAAAAAGAAAGCTCAGTTTTGCGACGCTCAGTCTTTTCAAGTTTTTGTCTTTTTTTTTGCATTTTGTTTGCAGGGCATGCGATGGCTTCAAGCGAAAGGGAGTAAGTATTTCATAAACTCTCAAATGTGTCAAATGAGCAAGTTTGAACAATTCTTGAGTGAAAAATGTTAAGTGTAGATTGATTGGCAGTGGGATAACATAATGGGAGACTTTTGAGACGTTGGTGGCAGCAAACACACCGGTCCTTTTTCCATTAATCGTCTCATATTGAGCATGCACGCTTTAGCTTAAAGATATAGTCCATCATTTGTAATTTGTGCATTTTGTTCGTTTGAAGCAACAAAAGTGTTCAAAATCTAATGAAGGATACTGAACAACTAACCTGATGAAGTTTCAGCTAAGCTTCAGCTGTATATTCCGAGAAAAACAGCATTCTAGGATCTCAATTTCAAATCAAAAGTTACTGAATCATGTTTTGAATTGCAGCTATACGCGACGCCGCGCACTAATCTGACGAATTATAGCAACCGCGCGCGCGTGTGCATCGTGCCAATGCTTGCGCGCGCTGCGCCGAATAACAAAACGAACTACTAATTTAAATTTTCCTACGGTGCGTCTTAAGACGCACCGTTGGAAAGGCCTTCTTTCGTTGATTACTTCAAAAAGACAGCTTGCCAGAAAGAATAATTTCACAGGGAGTTTAGTCCCCTTACTATCTTTCAACCAAGTTTGTTTTTCAACAATTATTACGCCAGTTACTTTTCGGATGGCTGCAAATGATGGACTATAGCTTTAAACATGACGTAAACAATTGAAAAGGACCGCTGTGTTTGCTGCCACCAACGTCTCAAAAGTCTCCCTTATGTGACCCGTGGACTGTGAATGACCACAGGGGTTGCTGTTTGCTTAGGTCAACAATAAAATCCAGTTGTCAAACTTCTTAACCCCAACAGGGTACACAGATAAGCAATACTATTGATTAATAAATACATGTACCTTAGACAGTTTGCACATTCCTATTGGTCAAGAAACCACTGCTAAATTACCGGCTGGTTTTTAGCACAATTCCTGCATTCTGCGCCACATCCTGCAGAATGGGCCGTGCATGTGCCAATTTCCATATACAGCCTGTCTAAAAAAAAATGGTACAATCGAAAACGATTTTTTTTTTCAATATTAAATCTCAACATAAGTAAGTCGTTTTGAGCATCACATTAAAGAAACAGACCAGGCTTTCCAATACTATTTGTTTCATCTCATTTGCTTTTGTCAATCCAGAGATAACTCCAGTTTACTGCGGAACACAAAAATCGAGTTTGTGCCACTTTCTGGTTGAGTGAAAACGGTGAAAGAATTAGTTAAACAAAACGTTATTCACACTTGAACAGATTTATAAAGAAACTATTTATCATTGAACTTATTATGTTGACTGTTAAAGCTTGTATCGAGAAAACCAGACTTCCTTTGTGTACTTTAATCTGTGTTTTGTTTCTTTTGCCAAGTTGCATCTTTTGTGAGCTTCAAGACAGCATGGCACAGTACTCGAAACAACTCTTCCTATGCATAAAAGTGGCACAAAATCAATTTTGGTGTATCGCACTAAATTGATTATATCTCTGAATTGACAAAAGCAAATAAGATCAAACAAACAGTATTGGAAAGCCCAGTCTTTGTTCTTTAATATTATGCCAAGTAAGAATGACTTATTTTGAAATTTCATATTGAACCAATTTTTTTTCTGACTGTACCATTTTTTTGGAGACAGGCTGTATAGCTAGAGGGGTGTTTCAGGATGAATTGATGAAAAAAATCGTGGGAAATTTGTGAAGTTTTGACTTGTTTTGACTTTTTAAACGAAAGATATTTTTGAATGGGAATAAATATGTGCTGAGCCACGTACGTTTAAAACCGGCGTGGATGATGGCCCGAGCCAACATTATTCGGTGACCAGAACCTTAATCAGTTTTAAACAGACTCCGGCCAAGCACATATTTATTCCTTTAGTAATGTTAGTCAGTTTGTGTTTAAAAATACTGCAGCCTATGGACTGCGTGTGTGAACAGTACTTTCAGACTGCCTCTGCTTTGGTCCATTCTATAAAAAAAGTCCACAAGAGGTTTGCAATAACCAAAAGTAAGAACTACAGTGATATTTTACTGTAAATTTCTGTTTGATATTGGCATGCTTTTATTGCTGAACTTGTGCTAGGCCATTATTTGTGTGTCGTCTAAACAACGTTTTGGGAGACACCGACCCTATGGCCATAGACCCAAACATCCGTATGACTGTAGCCCTGTTAGCATGTTAAAGTTTTGGTTCAGTTTTTGAAGAAAAAAAAATTGTATAATTTCTACATGCTTTCGTGGATTTGGATGAATCTTGGATGCAGTGACCCTTGGGTGAGAAGACACAATTCTTCATCGGATTACTGAGGTCAAAGGTCATGCAGGGGTCATTAGAGGTCATTGTTCAAATATGCTTCAAATGTTTGTCTACAGAATTTGATGGATATTAACTTGGATTGAGTGATCCTTTGGTGGGGGTTACACAATTCTTCCGAAATTTGAGGTCATAGGTCATAGGTCATTGAGGTCGTTGTTTAAAAATACACAAACTTTGACTTTTTTAAGAACAAAAAAAACATATAGGGATGGACTGCAGAAAAGGCGACACACGCGATCCGCGGATGATTTATTGTTTCTTGTGTCATTCCGTTTCATAGCAAATTCCCAAGAAGTTTGTGCGGGTATCTCAAGATGCATCCATCAGGCACATTCAGAGGTTCCTCATGAGGAAACTTCATCTCGGCGAGAACTATGAGGTACGCTTTGGAAATAATGAGATAGATTTAAAGGAACCTATTTTTTAATGTAAGATGGAACCCCAAAAGAGCGCTGGAAATACATCTTTGAAGTATGAACTGAATTAATCTTGTGCATCAGGTCGGGGTGACCACGCTAAACCAACCCAAAACATAAAACCGAATCCGAACCGAAACCGACCTGAACTCCCTAAAACCGACCCGACCCAACAAAAATTCCAAGGAAAACCGACCTGAAAAAGAATATCTGGCTAGGGTAACTGTGTCCGAATTTTGTGCCTAAACTAACCCACGTTGCGTGAAAACCGACCCGACTGAAGTAATGGTGTTAAAAATAATGAAGAATGAATGAATGAATGAATGGTCACAAGCCGACCCGACCTGTCCCGAAGTTGGTTTTGGGTCGGTTCAGGTCAGTTTTGGTTTCAGGTCGGGTTTGCACAACACTAAACTGAATTTGCGTATCAAAATTTCAACATGAAATTTCACAAAAATTGGACATCTGAAAAAGGCAGCACTTTCTGATTAGCCTATAAAAAGGGTGAGTATGCTTCTAAAGCAAAAATAAATGTACAAACTAAGCCTAAATGTGAAAATCAAAATTTGACAAAGTTCGACATGTTTTTGTACATGGTGGAAGTGTGGCCTTTATTTACGGAGGTAGTCCAGTAAATTGGCCACATTTATGGGGCTAGATTAAGATAGGCCCTTCTTGTTACCATGATTCAACTTGAATGCAGTACTGGGATAATTCTGCTCTGTATATTAATTTGAAAATAAACCGCTACTTTCCAGGTAGACATAGTGTGCGGTATGGACATCATGGAACCAGACCTAACACTAAGAATGCTCAGCGAACAAGTCACAGATGACCAGGTAGGAAGATTCTTAAATTGGATTATTGTGAGAGTAAAGATTATTTTCGGAGTAAAGACGCAATTTTGGAAATTTCAATTAGAAGTTGGTTTGTAATTTGCCGAGTCCATGAATGGGTGCGCGTAAGCGTTGACCCGACACACACACGTGGACAACAGTTACTATTATTATTCGTCGGTTCAGTGCATGATATCACGTAGCTGCTATCGGCTGAATGAGAACGTGTCCCGGATGCTGATTTTGGGCGTAATTCAAAACATGACTTGGCCACTTAAAATCAAGTACCTAGAATATTGTTTTTTCAGACTATACAGCATTCACTGAGCTAAGCATTCACTGGTTAAGCACCCATCTTTAGATTTTGAGCACATTTGTTGCTTCGAACGAAAAAAAAAAAAATGCAGAAATAACAAATGATCTACCCTTCCTTTAACACTGACTCTTGCAGAACATTTCATCTGCAGACTAGTTTATTCCCTAACGTTCTAATTTCCTTTCCTGTTCCAGTTTCAAGACGGTTTACTGCTTCTTCACTACAGTCTGGTGGATGCAGACGTCCAAGAGGTTTACGATGTTTCGTGAGAAAATGAAAGTCTCCATGTTGTGACAGTGGATGTACCTTGGACTTTGTTTCAGTGTTTTGGATCAGGAATTGACCAGTTTTCTTCAAATCAGGTTTTGACAGTGGGCCCTTGGGGCTGATTCTTAAATGGTGCTCAGATTTCCCCCCTCCCCTTCATGCCCCGCCCCCGTCTCACTCATATCTGTGCAATATTCAGTACCGTCCGTCACCACAGTGAGAGTCTATGCATGAACATGTACAGTTTTTTTAAGCTCTGGCAGGACCTTCTACATGTCATTTGGTGGTCAGTCAGTCGGATGGTCTGTCTGTCTGTCTGTCTGTCCCCGAAAATTTACCAAAAGTATGGTGTTCCGTATGTGCCATCGGCGTCGCATTTTTCAGCGTCGCATTTTTCAGCTCTGGCAGGGATCGATTTCATGCAAGACTTTCATGCAAGACTTCTTGCAACATGGCCTGATTATTGTGCACTCGCACTGTGCTGTGCAACATCTTCCTCAAACAAGGTGGACACCATTTTGTGATGTGGTTGGACGGTATCCAGAAGGAGGAAATGTCCCTAAAAGGTGGGCGGGGTGCGATTTTTAAGCTCTGGCAGGGGATTCTACATGACACTTGGAGGTCGGTTGGTTGGTCTGTCTGCCTGTCTCGAAAATTGACCAAAAGTTTGGTGTTCATATGTGCCATCAGCGTCGCATTTTTCGCAGGAGGTTTTTGTGCACTCGCACTTGTTTTTGTTTCGTACGACATGTCAAAATCATGTGTTCTTGATGCTTTCAGTAATTATGGATTTTTTTTGGAGTTTCAACCTTGAAAAAGAAATTGGTAATAAAGCTTTTGGATTTTTTAATTTACTGAATAGTTGTTTTAAAAATATGTACAGCTTCAACTTCTCATTTGCATTGGAGGGTGAGCTCAAGTCTGTGACCACACCTGCAGAGTTATAAAAAAAAATACTACGTCTTTAATGAAGGGGCTCTCAGAAGTGGTAAAAATGCACCCTCTTTTGTTGGCGCAGGGAGCCCATACCCTTTTCAAGAATGTATTGATCTCTTAAATGTTACATCATGTATAACTGCACAGGTCTCAAAATTTAGGTAAATGTCTACTAGCTGGTTGTCCAACTTGCAGTTTGAATTACTTGAAACGATAAAAGCTAAGTTGTGTAAAAGAACATTATCATTCATAGTTATAAAAAGTAGATCGACTTGGCCAAATGGGACTTCAAATGCGCCATTTGACATTGTTAAAGTTGTTCTATCCTTGCTCTTCAACATATTTTTTTGTACTAACAAATTTTCAACAGTTTTATTTAAATAGATAAAGCTACTTTTTCTGTTGAGGATGTATTGAATTCTCTGAAAATTCGCTTTATTTTTTGTTTGCTTTTGCGCCTATAACGCAGAAAAAGATACACCTGAAGTATTGTCAGGATGCAAATAATTTGATATTTGTAAAGAAAATATTGCAAATACTAAACATGGAAAGGGTACAAGGGGGTCTAAACCAAACCCACCCCACCCCCCCCCTCCCCTGGCCGAAAAAAAAAGATCATGCAGACAAAAAAACTTGAAAGCTACCCCCCCCCCCCCCTTAACCAAAGCTGGATTCGCCCTTGTTGTGTGACATCAGGTCATAGAATTTCAGGCCACACTTTTGACTTTAATGGTTTTGTAAGAATGTAATGTTGTTTTACAAATCTGGCCAAAGGACCCATCTTTGATGCGCACACCATCAGTGCCTTACACTTCAAGGGAATTTACTTATTTGTAAATTATTATTTTTCTATGCAGTATGAGTGCCTTTATTGTTTAGTTATTGCATGCACAAAGACATTTGGAAGGTTTGTACATAATGTATAGGACGAAAAATCCAACTTTCTTGTATTTGATATAAAATTCAATTAAAAAAGTATTAGTTTTCACAGCAAGCTTATCTTGAAGAGGTGATTTTGTGTAAATTTTGTTTTTTTCTGGTGCGCATTATGTAAGCGCTTTTTGCCGCAATACTAGATTTCTAACCCCAAAACATACCCCTTTTCTAGAAGTCAGTACTATAAAGGAGGCATGCAACTTTTCCTCTGATCCGCTGATTTCTTTCCTTGTTTTGCTTCTTTTGGGGGTTAGTATTTTATAGCAAATATTGTTACACAGACCTGTTTAAAATGTTGTGTTCATAGATGATGGAAAAACCAAGAAAGAAAATGCTGTTCTCATAGTCTGGTTCCCTGACCCTACTTCAGATGAAACGGAGCAAATTAAATTATAGACGTCGGGGAATTGTCAGGTCAGGGAACCATACTAGCTGGCTTGCACCCGTTCATGGATGTGTAACCGATTACAAACAAAATGTGGACTAACTAAATTTGGCAAATTGGAGGCAGTATTTGAAGAACAAAAAAACAAAACAAAACAAAACAAAACAAAAACAAAAAAAAACCACATTTTTTTTCCAACGATGGTCGGCTGACCATCATTGGAAATTGATACAAAATTCCACCTTTCTTGCAAATGACAGCACAGCAGGTGCTGAGATTTCACAGACTGCTTGAGACTATTATTCACTTACAGTCAATTAAGGTATTTCCTAATAATTTGGTTGTGTTGGTTATTGATGTTTGCAAATGATGTATATCACCTTTAAGATCGTGAGGATTTGACTCTCTCTGTTGTTGTCAGGTTGGGTGGTGTAACACAACTGCCCGGTGTTCAGAGTTGGGTGGGCAAAGTGAATGTAGGCATCGAGTGTTGCCTGGTAGCACACTAGGGTTGCTAAGCCATGCATTGATGGAACCTCTGTGCAGCGTGAAATGTGTTGACTGCTGAGTTTGTTCAGTCAACATTAATGCCATTACAAGTCTACCTGCAATGTGCTGTAGCCCCAGAAGATGTTGCATTCAATATCAAAATTCACTCCATTGTGTGTTCAACAAAGAAACTAACTGGAGTGGGATGTTAAAGGGAATATACATCATTTGCTTTTGCTATAATTTTCAGAAATGGATGGAATTGGGGGTTGGAAATATATATCAAATATAGTTACACTGACTTTTTTGAGGTTTTGTGTTCGAAAATGCTATAAAAACCAAGAAAAACAATCATTTTCCTGTAGTCTGGTTCCCTGACTCCATATAAGAAGAAACAGAGCAGTTTACATACATTGGGGAATTGTAAGGTCAGGGAACCAGTCTAGCTGGCTCGTACCTGTTCATAGGTTTGTAATCGATTGCAAACAAGTGCGATGGTCAGTTGGGGCCAGTATTTGAAAAAAAAAGCCAGTTTTTTCCAACGCTGATCGGCCGATCAGCGTTGGAAATTGATACAAAAATACCACTTTTCTTGAAAATGACAGTATACCAGGTGCCATGATTTTACAGATGCTTTACACTGTCATTCACTAACAGTCCAGCAAGGTATCTCAAAATGATTTGGTAGTTTTATTTTTTGATGTTTGCAAATGTTGTATTTTCCCTTTAAAGGGTTCATGCGATGAATTTTTCTTAGGAACACATTTTGTGCAACTTTCTTCTCCTCTTAAATGTATGAAAACTATTTGACATCTTTTTTGCTTACTTTTATTCAAAAGTGCACTTCTTTAAACATTGTCCATGCTTTTCTGGCCAACTGAGGGCGCTGTTGCTGTGATGTCATTTCAGGAAGGCCCTGTTCACTTTAGGGCTTTTCTGTTTAAATTGTGAACCCCAACATTTGTTTTTTAAAAACGTTTGTGAGAAAAGTTTGCTCATTGCCTTACTGCCATGTACGGACACAACAACGAATGACCAAAGAAAAGAAGTTTGTGACAGCAAAATATCCAAACTTTTGGTGCTGGAACAGATAACATTGATGGTTTCTCAATTTATACAAGGTTCTCAATTTATACAACGGCTTAGCACTAAAAGCCTCTATTTTAATGCCAATTTGAAATGCGTCTATGGTGGTTTCAAATGTTGTTAATCTTTTTAAGGGGAGCTATATTCAGAAGACATAGACCATTATATACCGTGTGGCCAAGAATGCCGTCCAAAATCATGATGCGATATAGGCCAATACAGGTGGACAAAAAAAAACCACGAAAACGAGATACTATTGCTAATTTGAACAGAAGTAGGGCACATGTGAATCAAAGGGAGATATCCTCTGTAAGGGTTGAATCTCCTCTTTAAAATGACACCCTGATCATGTCCTTACATTCACGGTTGACTGAGCAGTGACCAATTTTTTGATAGGGTCTATTTAGAGACTTGCGCCACTTTTCATGGTGAAATCTCTTTTTTCCTCACCACTTTTTCCTTTGGCAACCATAGCCTTTCACTCTGGGACAATTGACACAACAAAAACCACAATTGAAAAGTGGCGCAAGTCTCAGCTCTAAATAGACCCTTTCATAAAATTGGTCACTGCGCAGTCAACCGTGAATGTAATGACATGACCAGGGTGTCATTTTAAAGAGGAGATTCAACCCTAACAGAAGATATCTCCCTTTGATTCACATGTGCCCTTCTTCTGTTCCAATTAGCAATAATATCTCGGTTTCATGGTGTTTTTTTATCTACCCTGTATAGGGTGGGTCCCCCCCCCAAAAAAAAAACACCTCGCAACCTCATACTTGCACTATTCAGAGACCTACACTATTGAAACCTATGGATTGGAAATTTCGTTGGAAGGCAAATGATACCAAAAACTCCCGATTCGGTCCAGTAGTTTTGATTCCAGCGCCGTTTTTGTGAACCACTGTCAGGGGCTCATATTAGGATTATCGCACACACTGAACATTGTGTTATTCATCCACCCCTGACTTTGGTTCACAAAAACAGCGTTGGAATCAAAACTACCGAACCGAATCGAGAGTTCTTGGTATCATTTTCCTTCTATAACAAAATTTCCCATCCATATCATACTCATAGCAATGGTTTAGGTCTGTGGATATTAGAAGTATGAGGTATTATCTCAATGAAGGTCAGTCATTGCAAAAATGTTGAAAAGACATGAATCTGGGACTGATGAGAAACATTTGTAATTTTGTAAGCAAATACTTAGAAAATGCACCGGACTCTCCATAGACTTTGTACACGGCCAAAGAAGTGGCGTCTGGATACTACATGCTGTCCTATATGCCTAAATCATTGAATATAAACATTTCTGCTGTGTACCTACCTTACTGCCACTTGTGAGCCCGGCAGTGCTATTGTATAGGATTACCCCATAACGCCAATGAATGAGCCAAATCCAGCCCATCGTGAACACAGATTGATGAAATGACTACTCTGGGATCGGTTTTACAAGGCTTGCCGTGTCC